ATGGCAAGGCCGACAGCCTCGCCGTTGAGGGCGGAGTCGGTGAACAGAACGGTTCGGAGGTTGTCAAAGATTTCTTCGGAGCCAGTGCCCATACCGGCAATACCGAGACCCAAAGCACCACCGTGCTGGATGACCTCCTCCTCTGCAGATGTGAACTGAGTCTTGAGGTAGTCGAGGGCGTCGGCGCCGTGGTTGGCATGGATCAGGCCGTAAGCGTAGAGAGCACCGCCCTGGCTGAAGATGGAGCCGCTGCTCAAGCCGCTCTGGCGTGGCAGATAGGGCTCGAGAAGCTTCCGGGACTGTGTCAGGTTGCCACGATGGATGACACCGAGAGCGGCCGTGGCAGTAAACTTGGACCAGTTGACGGCCTTTCCGAGCCATTCGAGGTTGTCGCGGAAGAACTTGTCGTTGGTAGTGCCCTGGTTCATAAAGGCGTTACAGAAGGTGACGGCGGTGTGGAAGATGGAGTTGCGGCCTTCCAAGCTGTCCCGGACCTTGTTCAAGATGCTCAAATCGGTACGGTTGTTCCTGTAGAGGAATTCCAGGTTCAGCTGGATGGTCTTGCTGCCGTCCAGTATAGAACGGATATTCTTGTACACCTTGGAGAGCTCCTCCGAGAGCTCCTCCTCAGAAGACTGCTGGTTCTCCAACAAAGGCTCCTCCTCGGTAGCATCGCTCGCGGGCGCCTTGGCAGGCTCGCCCGAGGGCAGAGAGTTGATGATCTTGCCCAAAAACTCCTGGGTCCCGTTGTCGTACAGATCGAAGGCGATCTGGTAGGCGTTGGCGATCGAGTTGCGGTCGCCACTCGTGATCAGCTGCTTGAGCATGCGGGATGCTTCCTCGTCGGAGCTCAGGTACACGACGCATTTGGCAATGGCAAAGTAGTCGGGGTTCGGAATTTCGTTGAGAAGGTCCAAGATCAAGCGTAGGATCTCGGTACGGAAACTCCGCTCCTGGACAATATCCATGCAGATGCTCAGAGCATACTCCATGAGCTCCTCGGCAGGGCCCTGTCCATCTGTTGACTTGGTCTTGGAGCGCTTCTCGTCATCGCTGGCGCGCTTGATGACACGGCGGAGAACCTCAAGGTTTTTGGCCTCGACGGCAATGCCGACGACCTGGCGATATCTGCCATCCTTGAGGCAAGACTCGAAGAGGCGCTCGATGACGCGTTGCAGCGCAGCCTGGGTTGCATGGTCATTGATTGGTGCAACGGAGGCGGAGCGACCTTCCTTGACAGGCTGGAATGTAGGATCGAGGATGGCGTTATCGGTCGAGACGCGGGAGAGGAGGGACTTGGAGGGGAGGGTCGTCTGGGAGAAGGGCGTTGTCGGAGAGATGAGGGCAGATCCATCGGCGGCGCTGCTCGCAAAAGTGGTTGCCAAAGCGGGAAGAGAGTTGTCGCTCTGGGGGGACTTGGGAACGGTGTGCTTGGCCGAAGAAACGGCAATGTATTGGTCGATGCACTTGGAGATGATGGTGTCCTCGAATTCGCCGGGGGCATCGAGCTTGAAGAGATCGCCCGCGGCGAGGGCAAAGGTCATGCTCTCGTTGTAGGCCTGGAGGTGGTAGTAGACCTTGGCGAGGACGAGAGCAGCCAGCTGGCGTTGGGGGAAGGATTCGTCTTCGTAGAGTGCCTCGCTGATGGAGTTGTCAATATCCAAGCAGAGTGTCTGTCGAGCAAGCAAGCAAGCAAGCAAACAAGGGCGGGAGGGCTTACATCTGGCTCAGAGCGCCGGCAACCTCGGTCCAGACGGTGTCGATGTCATCGTTGAGAGTCTGGAGGGCGAAGACCTTGAGGTCGTGTTCCTCATCGGCCAGGAAGCCCAGAACTCCGGTCGCTGAGACCAGGCCAGGCATTGTCGGAGGTGGCCACAGAAACGGGAGCTGAGCTCAATTGCGGGGAGTGGGGGAGATGTTTGCGCGACCGAGGATAAAATGAATGAGGATGGGTTGAGGTCGGTGATGTGAAGCCGCCCGAATGCGAGGTGGCGGGATGGGAATAGTAATTTGGGGTGTTTGGTGGTGGTGGTGGTGGTGATGAGAAAGCTCCGAAGAGGCGTTGGTGATGAAATAAGGACGATGTTGAGAGGCGCGAACGAATGCAGCACAGCACAGAGAGACCAGGCCAGGGCACGCACGCTTCAGTCGGTATCCATCCACGTCAGGCAGGTCTGCCTGCTGCGTCCGTCTCGGTTCTGCCGACTCAGTGCTAGAGCTGGAGGTACGTACCTTTCATCACTTTGCCTTCCGTGTCCGCCTTGCAGCGGAAGGAGGGCAAGCACGGATCAAGCAGCAGCAGCTGGAGTGATGACTCAGCATGCTCAGGTACTGTATATAACATAATTGGAAGGGTGCTTGGAAGCTGCACCCAGGTAGGTAGATAGGTGTACGCATACTCCGTACTGTACAAACAAAACACGGTTGAAAAAAACACAACCTCCGTACGGAAGCGGGCTGCAGTACTGACTGATATGGCCAATCATGAAGCTCTGCAATCTCCAACACCTCCGCGGTAGCCCCTGAAGCTTACTTAGGTAAACCGGAATGCGCTGTAGTCCATTGCCTACCTAGATACAATTACAAGCAGGCTCTGGTGCCTCCAGAGGTACTTGGATTGTGAGTCTGCACTGGATACGGATAGATGTTGATGATACTATGTTTGAGTACGGATACGGATACCTAGATATGTTAAGTAGCAGGTACGTTAAAGGGCAGGGTGTCGGTCTGGCTTTGGTAGTAAACCACCTATGTATTACCCGTCTGGGTAGGTGAGGTCCCTAGCACCAGCTACCTAGGTAGGTGCCTACGTAAGCAGCATCAGCATCAGCATCAGCACCGGCACCAAGCACCGTGCATCAAGCGTGTACAGGTAGACAGTAGGGTAAGTATCAGTAAGCTACCTGAGGTAAGTAAGTAAGTTGGTAAGTAGGTAGGCAGGTTGGTATAGTATGTGCGATCGGCGCGCGACCAATCCATTTTCATCTTTTCGTTTTGGCTCCAGATTTCCTACCTTCCCCCCAGCCCGTCCATCCCAGCCTAGCCGCAACAGCAGAGGACAAGATGTTTTCTTCTTGAAATAATAATACTACCTTGCCTCCAGCTTCGTTCTTGCGTGCCTCGACAGTCGGTCCTTTTGGTGCTATACACCCAACACCACCAACAACTCGTATCCTCATCAACAACAACCACTCTTAGCTAAAGTCTTCCGACGCAGACGTAGCAGCAATTGCGACGACAGCGAAGGCGACGGCGACGACCACGACGAAGAAGACGACGACGACGACATCGACGAAGACAACGACGACAGCCACCGGCATCTCGAGATCGCCCGTAGTTTGCTGGTTTCCCACCCATCCATCCTGTCATCACCACCAACCTTTCCACTTACACTTTGCGACGCCATTCTTCCCCGTCGCCTCTGTCAAGCGCACTCCCTGCCTGGCAGCTCTTCCGCCTCCCGCCCCTCTACAGTTGCGACGCTTCAAGTTGCGGCCACTCCCTCTCAGCCGCACCACCACCCATCGAAACACACGAGCTCTCGACCGATCACGACGGCCCTTTGCCCATTCGGCTTCTCAGTCGCCCCCGTTCGCATGGACTGTTGTCGCACGCCTCCTTCGAACATCGAGAACACCGCACGCACCGTATCCGATTCAATTCAATCCCGTCCAAACCACATCAGAGCCTCCGCTGCCTTTGCGCCCCGGCTCCAACCTCTTTTGACCCCTTCGCCTTCTGCCGTGCTGCCCATGATTGACTTCGCCTGGTCGTAGCTTTCCCTCGAGTCCAGTCCAGCACAGCCCTTCCTGCCTCTCTTAACTCCGATCTCGACACTGACGCCGACGACACCGACATCAGCCACTTGCCATCATCTCGACTTATTGATCCTCCTGATCACGACGACGTGATGACTGCCTACTGCATCTCAGATCACTAGAATCGCGTTCGACTTGGACACCAACCCTTCCGTTGCGATTGTTACAGCCTTCAACGCCGTACTGCCCTCCGATTTCCCTTCGGCGCATACATGAACAGTGGGGTTTATTGATAGCGTGAGGCTGAAACTTTGCATCGGAGCTGAAGTTGGGTGGAGCGCTGGTCCTGACGGAGCAACGCAAAGCGTCAAGCAACCGGTTTTGGCCGACCGCCCTACGCCTGCGGTAATCACGATGGATCTGAGAAGTTTGATGAACACATCCGACGACGGGGACCGGCCCCGAGCCGCTGCCGCTGCCGCTGCTGCCGCCGCCGCCGCCGCCGGTCTTCCCCCAGGTCATCCTGCTCACTCTCATCCTTCCTCTCAACCCCTTGCGCCGAAGCAGCAGCAGCAGCAGCAGCCACCGCCGCCGCAACATCAACCACCGCCGCCGCTGCCCTATCAGCAGCAGGCTCCCACGACACCTTCCCAAGCTACGACGGCGTACGCATTCAGAGAATCGGCGTACAGCCACGCCTTGCACTCGTCCCCCGGAAAGCCGCCGGCTCCTCAAGAATACGCCGTGCATCCCCAGGCCTCAACTCCGGCATACCCTCCACAGTCGCCTTATCAGACTCCCGGGCCCTACCCTGGCCGGCAGGCACCTCCACCGCTTCAGGCGGGCGTTCCTGCTCCGTATCCCGATGCGCGATCTCCTCAGAGTGCGAACATGCCTGGGCAGTCGCCCTATCGTCACACGCCCACATCTTCGGTGAGCGGCCCCAGCGGGGGCTATCCATTCCCTCCCACTGGTCCGCCTCAAGATGTCGCCAGCCCTGTGCAACGACACCAATATCCACAGCCCAACGCGTATCCCTCAAGAGAGAGCTATTCTCACCCATCTGGTGCACCAGCGCCTTCTCCGTACACCCAGCAGCAACAACAGCAGCAGCAGCAGCAGCAGCATCAACAACAGCAACAACAACTGCAGCAGCAGCAGCAGCAGCAGCAGCAGCTCCTGCAGCAACAGCAGCAACAGCAGCAACAACAACACCAACAAGCGCCGCCGCCGCCTCAGCAAATGCCCCAAACGCCGCCTATCGGCACCCCGGTCGGCGTGCACCCGTACCTTCACCAGCGCTCTCAATCGACGCATTCAACTCCCACTCCCACATCCGCACATGGTCAAAACCCGCAGCAACTTCACGGCCATGCGTACTCTCACGGCAGTCCTGTGGTGACAGCACATCCCCCCCCTGAATATAGCCGACAGCTCTCGCAGCCTCCTACCCCACTGGGCCCGCCCCAGACCGGGCCTCGACAATCTTCCACCGCACCGAGCTTTGCGCAACCACAAAGTCCCTACCAAAAGAGACTGTCTGGCTCGCACCTTGCCCAAGCCACACCACCACCACCACCACCACCACCACCTCGCATGCCCAGCTCCCACAGCGGCCACGAACGAAGATCCTTGTCACAAAGTGAGCGCGACAGAAGTGTTAGCGTCAGTCCCAAGACCCGAGTCTCGAGTTTGCCAAGCAGCGCCGGCAGATACACAGAATCAGAGGCGCGATCACATCCGAGTGTCGTCAACATGGTGGAACCCGAACGCGAACGCGAACGCGCCGCGACACCCGCCAAAAGAAAGCTTGCTGATAGAGATTTAAGCCCGAGGGAACTCGAGCGGAAGGAGCCAAGGCCTCCGCCGGCTGAGGTCAATGGCGGACCTAGGCTTTCCCGATCGCCCGTGATGCAGCGAAAGAGAAAGATACACACGACGCCTCCCATCTGGGCACAGACATGGAACGCTCGGGAGAACAAGAGGCTGAAGCTGGCCAATTTCGAGCTACAAAAACGAGGACCACCTAGTGTCAATGGCAAACCAGAGCCTACAAAGCAGGACAGCTCCAGCCGCCATACGTCTCCAGAGGCCGCGCGATCCACTGCGCCGCCGGTTCAGGAACCACCTAAGCCTGATAGTCTGCTTGGCTCATGGGAGGAGAGCATTCTCGGCACCCGACCGTACGAGGAACTATCCAAGACGATTGCCGATTTCCTGTTCAAGAATGTGACGCTCCACCCCGACTCTGGCGAGATTATTGGGCGAGGCGTGCAATTCGAGATCGAGGCCAAGATGGGTCAGCTCATCGATAAAGACACCAATGGTCGCGTCGAGAGGGCAATCGGCTCGGAATGTGTTCTGCACGACACCGGCCGTCTTGCCTTCAGAAGCAGCATGACAGAGGCATGTTTCCTCCGCCCTTCCAATTTTCTCTAATATTTTTTTTTCCTTTTTCAAAAATCACCATAGCTAACATCTTTTCCCCTCCAGGCTCAACACAAAGGTCTAAATGAATTCCTGAACAATATGGTTGTTCAGACAGATCCACGGAATCCCAACGCCCGAGGCCGTGTCCAAATACAGTACAAGCATCGACGGGAGGTTGACAAGTTCTACGAGCTGCCGAACGCTCTGCAAGCCCGTCTTCCAGGCTGTGTTCGATCTCTCCTGTCTGGCAGGCGATCGATCAAGGTCCGTGTTACGTATGACCAGAAGACGCAACAAGTCCTGGCCAAGATTGTCAAGGCTCGAGTGGCTGACATCCACCTCCATCTGCCAACGTGCCCGCTCGACTGTCGTATTAGTATCAACCTCGAAATGCCATGGGACGGATCCGTCGAGGAGTTGGAAAGTGCGGCTGTTGGGCACGCTGATAAATTCCCCGACCGGAACAAAGATCGCCTAAGTTATAAGCAGAACCACTACCAGATCGACTTGACACAGGTGACACAGATGGTGCCGGGCCCTGGAGTGAGTTCATGTCTGCCTTCAACAAAGTTTGATCACAGCCCTTGCTAACTTTCCAAAGAATACCCACCGGATCGACAAAGAGCACGAGCTTGAGGTCGAGTTGTCGTCAGACATTCTTCTCGACCAACAACGCCGAGCAATGAGGAACGAGCCGCATCAGTACCCCCAACTCGTTGAGGGTTTTGTTGACAACGTACGCGTCCTGGCCCGGAAGAGCCGTGAATTCATGTGATATTTGCTTTAGGAGCAACTCGGAAAAGAAAGCAAAAAAACAAAAAAAGGTGGATTTCTCTTTTTTCTTTTCTTCCCGTCTCTTTCCGGTTCAAGTGGCTTGGGTGGGTTTGATACCAGGAGAGATGAAGACTACGTTTCTGGGCGTCACAGGCTGAAGCGGTTCGCATTTTAGGGAGCATATTATTTATTCATGCCTAGTCATACCTAACTAAGTTTGGGTGCTTTGATTCCAGTCTCTGGTCGTTCGCCCGGACAAGACTCATAATACCTACTGCAAATTGCCGGCCCGATGAATGCCACAAGTCTGATTGTCGCCGCCAAATGCTGTTCCACGGCATCAGTGTCGTGTTGAGTCTTTACTTCACGGCATTCATAAAGTCCAACAAAGGAGCTACAGCAAAGTGAGGGGTGCCCTGAAGGGCATGGACATATCATGTACACGGGAGCACTTGCAAACCCAAAACACTTTTCGTCAAATTATATCAAGCCCACATCATAACACTCGGCAGCCTGGACTCCTCATGACAGCTTTTCCCCACCCTTGCCACCGCCATTATGGCCAACAGGTTGAATATCCTCCGAATCCGCCCCACGGGCACTGTCTCCGCCGCTGACGTCCTTGGACGGGATGGCGCCGGTTGCAGGGACAAGGGTATGGCCATCCGTGTCCTCAATCTCTTGGTCGAGAAGGAGATTGAGGGCCATGCACACGAACGCCGTGATGGCGAAGCCCGTCTCCATGATGAGTACGATGGCGTCGAGGAACCCCCGGAGACCGCGGTTGTCGCCGGCGTAGGTGAAGACATGATCGAAGTAGGTCGGCACCAGCGTGGCGCCGTAGCCGAGCGTCAGACCGGCCGTGAGGATGAATCGATTGCGGCGGTTGAAGGGTACGCCCTTTGTAACGATGGCCATGCCGGAGACGGCTACTGCGGTGAAGAGGAAGGACGTCATGCCGCCCAAGACGGCGGAGGGGATGGCGACGAGCGAGGCGGCAAACTTGGAAAAGATTCCCATGACGATGAGAAAGAAGCAGCTTTTTCAAATCGTTAGACTGGGGTGAACTAGAAAACGGCACGGGCACATCGACATACCAGCAGTAGCCAGCGCTGCGGTTGGCGCAACGAGTGAGAGCAATGACACCGTTGTTTTGAGCAAACTGACATTCGTGTGAGCATAGTCCACGGCTCAGGAGTCGAATGGGGATGCGGTCAACGGCTTACAGTTGTCATGGGGGTAATAGTCATGAGAGCGGCGAGAACACCATTGATGCCGTCGGCAAGCACGCCGCCTTGTACGCGAGACTCGAACAGACGGCCCTCGACCTCGAGGCGTGACACATCGCAGGTCGCCGTGATGTCCCCAATGGCCTCGGTGGCACAGATGATGTACACGGCTAGCAAAGGCCTGTACACTCATATCAGCTCGACGGCTTCGCAAACGACGGAGAAGCATGGCTTCGAGGGAGGGGAGGGGAGGGGGGCTTACAAGATGAGCGGGCCGTAGAGGGAGAGTTTGAAGGTCTGCACCCAGATGAAGGAGACGGCAGGGGCGCTGTCGATGCCGGAGCGGTCAAAGTACCCGCAGGCGGCGGCGATGATGCATCCTGTATTGTTGTAGACTCATTAGAGACACAGTTCTTTCGGCAAATGGGCTAATGGCAGAGGCGGCACTCACCAACGAGGAGGCCGATGACAACGGAGGTCGACTTCATGATTGGGGCGCCGAACCGCTCACAGAGGATGATGGTGATGAAGACGGAGAAGCCCAGACCCAGGTACTCGGCAGAACCCCACGGGAGAGCGTGAGGCGCGCCGATGTTGGGGCACCGGGCGAAGAAGTCGGAGGTGGGATTCGCGCAGGGGCCGGAGCCGCCCATCCAGTTCTGGAAACCGCTCCCGATCAAATTAATGCCGATAAGCATGACTGGACAACCGTCAGAGACCAGTGAGCTTTTTCGGGAAGAGGGGAGGGGGAGGGGGAGGGGGGTTGAAGATTGCTGCAGTCGAAAACTTACCAGTTGGGCCAGTCACGATGGGCGGGAAGACGCGTAGCATGATGTTGGGCGGCATGAAGGAGATGACAATCTCAATGAGGGCGCAGAGAGCACTGGAGCCGATGATGGCTGGGACATGTGTTAACAACGACCGACGTGAAGCGGGGCGTAAGTAGAGGAAGCTCACCTCCATAGCCATCAGGGCAAGGGAGCTTGTTCCCCTGGGCGTCGGTTGGGCAGAAGCCGTTGGCATACATCTGAGCCAGCGCACCCTGGGCGACGGGGATGATGGAAAAGGAGATGCCGACGACGGAGATCAGGCCGGTGCCGATGTAGTAGCTGGGGCGGGACTGTGAGCTGCAGGAACCGGCAAGGGACTGAAGGGCACTCGATCTTACGGAGTCTTCAGGATGTGGAACCTGGTGATCTGGATCAAGGACAGGAGGCCGGAGACGATCAGGGCCGTCGAGACGAGGTACTGCTGCGTCTCGCCGGTCAGGTTGGCGCCGGCAGCGCCGCTCAGCAGGATGGGCGGCGTGATGATGCCGGCCAACATGGCGAGAGCATGCTGGAACCCCAGCAACAGGGCCAGGAGGGTGGGCATTCGGTCGTTGAGGCCGAAGAAAGGGGCGGCCCTCCGGCTCTTCTTCATGAATGGTAGGCTGGGCCGGAACAGATGGGCGTAATCGTAGTCGCCAACTAGACCGTCCTTGGTGAAGAACCTGTTCCTGGCACCACGGACGCGATCTCCCATTGTCCTCTTGGGAGCCGTCCCGGGGACGATTTGCGACGGGCCTTGATCCTCATCCATCGTGTATGCGAATCGCCTTGAACGTTCCCTCTGTAGCAGAACGAGTAGAGTTGCACGGTCTGGAGTGAGTGAGCAAGCGGCGGCTCGCAGGTGACGACTATGACGAGTGTCCAGACCAGATCAGATAAAAAAACCACCAACGACAGGCGAGATAGAGTCAAGCCCCCCCAGTCAAGCAAGTCAAGTCAAATCGAGTTGCTATCGACGGCGAGAAGGCCAGGCGAAGAGAAGACAGGAAGAGCTTAGTCCGAGGGCATCGACAAAGCAGTGGCCAAGCATCGAAGCGACGATGTGGATATCTATCTCTTTATATATCGATCTGACTCGAGCCTCTTGTCTGCATTGGGGCGAGAGGTTCACTCCTTTTAGTCGATGGTTTCGAGCAATCAGCCCGAATCGCTATCAGCAGGATAAGCAGCTCTGGGCGACGTGAATGGCTGGCGATGGTGTGGGGTGGGAAGGTCCTTGGGAGGGGACAGCGAGTGCTAGGTATTACCTATCTACCTACCTACCTAAGATACCTAAGGTACCTAAGGTGGGCTAAAGTACCAGCCTTAGGAGTGTAGGTACGTACGGACGAATGTACTACTTACTGTCTGTCACCCACTCTCTTCACTCACATTCATTCATCCATCTCGGTACTCACTCATCTGTTCACTCGTCCAACTTACCCACCCACACGCTCACCCCCTTGCCGACGGTATCTGAGGTGATGGAATGCTCGTGTTCTGGGTGGGCTCGGGGAGCGGCGACAAGTCTATTTGGATACAGCCGACAGCTATCAGAGCGCCAGCAATGGCGTACATGTATATGTATTGTATATGCATGTGTATGCGGCCGGGGCATCTCGAGCCAGCAAAGTGAGTACAGACTGCCGTGGGTTGTAAGTGGCATGACGCAGGAGAAGAACGCCGTCAATCCGTATTACACGCAGCAGAAAACAGCCAGCCAGCAGAGAGTGTGTGAGAGACTCACTCACTCAAAGAGAATGAAGGAGAATGTGGTGCATGGGGGGAACTCCCCGCCATCGCTCCCGCGTGGCATACCAGGAGTATCCCGCCGTCTGTTGGCACACCATCTCTCTACACAGTAATACCTTGGACGATGCGGCGACTTGCGAAGGGGGCACCACCTAAGAACCGGTGCCGGCGTTGTGGTCAGTGCAACCACACGCATCCGACAGATATCGGTCGAGACATCGGACGGAGATCAACGTGAGGGAAACTGATCAGAAAAGTTCACCATGCCATCGAGAGAGAAGTTGCTGTGTTGTAAGCTTTGATGAGAGTCGCTGGGACGCTTCTCAAAACAGGGCGCCATGCGCGAATATCGAAACCCTCTTCAGATTGATGCAGTCGGATGATTCACACCTGCTCATCGTACATCACCTCATGTTCACTCTCATGCTAAGAATGCCACTTCTACCGTAGGCCCGACTCTGCTGTGTTACCCGTGAGAGAAATGGGAATGAGACCCCCCTGCTTGCTATCGACCCGAGCTGGCCCAAACCGAACCTGGACCAAAGATAAGAGAAAGAGAGAGAGACATGGCCACCCAGGATACCCAGGCCGGCGCCGCGCAGAGATAAGGAAGCATCCCAAAACGAGCCAACGAGGAAGGGGTCCCTGCTAGACGTAGGGCAGGCCTCGATTCCCGCCACACTCGGCCCTTTCCATTGGCCCAGCCCGCTGCTGAGATTTGCAGACGCAATAGATTATTTGGGCACGGCGGAACTCTCTCTCTCTCTCTCTCTCTCTCTGTCTGCCATCGGCGAACTCCGCCTGTGAGAGGGAGAGAGAGGCTTCTTCTTCTAGGGACTCACCGCGCGCGCAGACGTCATTGGAACATCCGTGGGCTAAGGAGACGGCACCTCTAATTCAGACACTTGGAAAATATCCCAGTGCGCGCCTCTCTCGTACCGTTGATGACTATCGTCTGGGAACTGAATACGATAAGATCGCTCACCGGGGGGAGGGGGAGGCGGGTCGGCTTCAGGCACCGTCGCGTCTTCGCAATCAGCCAGGCACAAGAACGCACGAGAACCAGGCCTAGTCGTGGACGACATGTTCGTCATGTTCATGGTTGGTACACTCGTCGCTGGCTCTACCTCCCTTCCGAATACACCGTTTCGCCATTCCTTTTGAGACTCTATCCCGCCTCGAAACGACATCACCGCGTCTTCGCTATAGCTGATCAGATCCGGCACCTTCTAGCAACAAACTCCCTTTGCGCCGCAACAGAAATCCCTCATGTGTACAAGGCATCCTCAATGCTCCATCGCCTTCTACTATGTGGCCCGGACGCCCGCGTAAACGCGCAGCACGCCGCGCAACCAGACCTCGTGGCTCGTTCATCGATAGTCATCCCTCATCCCGCGGACGACGTCGTGCTGCGATGCGAACCTAGCCCGGTGGTACTCATTGAGTTGCTGCCGGCCGGATTCCCTGACGAGTCCCAGGAGGCCCTTGTGCCGTCTCTTGAGACACTCACTCAGATCGGCTTCCGTTCTGGCACTGCACTGACAGACGTTGGGCGTCCCCCCGAATTTGGCCCTATCCTGCGAGGTCGGGAACCAGATGCTGATGCGCCTGACGTCCTTCCAAACAGCGTCGGCATACTCCCTCTCCCCTCGCCGACCAAGAGCCAGCCTGGCCACGTTCCAGTCCACGTCGCTGTCGCGGCTTTCGAACCGCCGCACCGACATGTCCGTGTCGCCCTGGTCCTGCTCGATGGCGGCGATCTGGCACGATGATCCATCCCGTCCTGCCCGGCGGCAGTTGCACCGGTCTGGGTTGACCTGGGTGCCCTCGTCAATGTCCACGGCCACCATCGCCGGCTTTCCCGTCTTGGTGTTCCGAGTGAAGAGAACGAGCATTGGCTTGGGCGGGCGCCGGTGGACTGTTCCGGTTGTGGATCCGCCGATGCTCACGGTCGCCGTCCGCGCTTCGCTACCACTCGAGCTGTTGTTCGATGGGGTTGTCGTTGCCGACATGTTGCTTGACAGGCTGAACGTCCTGTCGGGGCGCGTGGTCCCCGTGGACACTGACGGCGCCATCGGCTGCCGTGATACCGGGAAGAGGCTGGAGGGCCGAGGACTCGCCGGTAATGTCGACGTGGCGCTCGGTTGCTGGTAACTATTGGGTGGCGACGCTGCCGGCGCCTGCCTGCTACCAGACCCGACCGGCCGGCGCGGTATGACCATGGGAGGCCGAGCGCCCGACGGGTCGTTCATCGGCGGCGGCGATGGCATCGATGAGTTCCGCGCTGGAGGCCTCGTTGGTGGAATCGCACTGTTCCACATCGACACGGTCTCTGTAGGGCTGGTCATGATAGGGTTGGTCGTGTCCCAAGGTCCACCACCACCACCACCACCACCACCACCACGGAGGGTGCTCTGTCTCGTCGCTGTGCCGGTTCCTGAATAAGCTGCGGATGCAGACCTGGACCCCGCATTTTGTTCGACTGATGACTCGTTGTTTGTCACTAGCTGCCCATCGAGCACCTTTGGAACCCATAGCTGAACACACGCGCTCTCGACGATCGGTTCTCCCCCACCCGAGACGACGAAGCTGACCATGGCCTCGTACCTGACGACAAATTGTCAATCTCAAAACATTGGCACCAGCCGGGAAATACTCACTGGCTATAGCTGTCAAAGGCCTTGAAGCCAGTGGTGGCGTGCTGGAACCTGACAGCATCCTTGAGCTGCGTGAAAGTTAGTTTGGCGACCCGTTCGTCTTTCCGCAAGACCATGTCCCATACTCGGGCGTTGGAAGGAACGGCGTATAATGGGTTGATGATGACGGAAGTGATGTCGAAGTCGATGGTCTCGGCTACCGAGATGTCAGCAAATTTGTATGCGAGGTTGCCCACGCCCTTGCCAGCGTACCTTGCCGACGCGCATTCCTACTTGTGCCTCCTTGCTCTACACCGGTGATGTTGATGCGGAAACGCTTTCCGTCTGCGCCCATCCGCCGAAGAAGCTGGAGCTTCCTTTGGACGTTGGCGGCGGCTCCTTGCATTGGGCTGTACGATCTCGTGTAAGTGACTGCCGACGAAGCTAGTGGTATCTCTTTAGCTAGGTTACACTCACACGTCCAGGACTTGTTCCATGAGAGCGTCCCTTGTCACTACATCCACGAGTTGCGCAAGCTCCTTCTCGGGCCAGATGTCAAACATTTCAGGCAGCAGGCCTGTTATGGTCGGCGGCACGAGGTCTTGTCTGAATCGATCGCATTGCAAGGCAAGTTTCTAGACCTGTTAGCTTTCCCCAAGTTGGCTGCACGTGGGAAAACGTGTCGCGGGCTGCTCACGTCTTCGAGCTGTTGGATATACGAAGGCCAGTGTGATAGGCTGCTCGTGGTCGACTGGCGTAGTTCTGGCGATTCGCGAATGTGCCGCATCACCCATATGCACTTCAACAGGCTCACGTACTGCTCGATATCGGGGATCCTGTTTTCCACCAGGATGCCGGCAGCGAAGTTGGCTGTAGACTTGTTATAGTGAAGGACGAAGACATCTGCCATCTCCCGGAGACTGGGGCCTAAGCCGTCCTGCTGCCTCTCCGCCGTCCATGCACGCTGGAGGCCGTCGGCAACTATTTGCGGTATTTCGAGTTGAATAGGCTCCCGACGAGCCTGTTGAGCTAGGGCATGCTCGAGGTCTGGGACTAGGACCCCGATCAGGCGGTGCAAGTCCAGATGTACAGCACTTATACGGTGGGCAAGATCCTGGTGCACAAGGCGAATGTCTTCCCTAACACGGGAGAGCAGGTCGCTGGTTTGATGAGCATCGTGACAAACCTGGACATACGACAAGACAGCAAGGGTGCTTACATTTCAAACGGCTTCAGCACGTGGAAGACCTTGGAGCTATGCAGTGCTATTCGCGCACGCAGTCGATCAGCGGCTGGCGCCACGAGCACATTCCATTCGATGTTCCTGAGCGGACCGCCGCTAACGCGATAGCGATGGTTTTCTGCAATCAGATTGCAGCATTCGGTCAGAGTTCCCTTGTAGTCTCCGATGATATCTTCGAGGGACGAGGGATCCCAACGCAACGGCCTGAAGGCCCCTTCTTGACGCAGTGCTTGGTCCGCTGTGTCGACCACACGAGTGAGGATGTCGAGGTTCTCGGCCAGCCCTCTTACATCACGGCCGAATTCTGCATATTGCCGTGCTGGGGGCGTTGTTAGTCCGTGTTTCTGCCAAAAGCTTTGGTTGTCTTCTCGTCCCGTTGGCTGTCGTTCAGCCCTACGGCGCCGCCTATCGCAGAGAGGGCTGAACCTAACAGGTCTTAAAGAAGAGAAGCGCGGGGGCGGGGGCTGACCAGAGGGCTAAGGGATAGTCCGGCAACGCACGGAAGCAACGGTCATGATGAGGGACTCAAGGAAAGGTCGAGAGGCAGAATCGTGATGGACCTGCGAGGATATACAAACTCACTTGCATTGAAGTCGTTATCCCAACCAAATTTGTACACGTCCCACGCAAGCTTGCTAAAGTTGATGACGTCCCCCAACTGGATGGGTCCTGCCATTGGGGGAAGCGGTTTAAGAAAAAGAGACAACGGAGCCCTCTATCGAAGGCGCGTTATGAGATGATTGACATTGGATGCGCGGAGGAAGTGTTAGAGGGAGGGCGTGAGCGAAGTCGAGCGCGGCGGCTACAAACGGGAAGTTCCAGAAGTGGGCTTCAGGTCGACGGCTGCGAACGCAAGTGAGGGGAACCAGGTCGAATTTCAAGTAAAGCCTGACAGACTGGCCACAGAGCAGCGAGCACACGAGAGGGGGAAGAAGAGGAGGAGGAGGAGGCGTGCGAGACGGTGGGGTCGTGTGACCGAGAGACAGACAGGTGTGGCCGCCACGGGGAACGCAGGGCTGGCGCGGAGATAAGGGGGCATGGAAATGCGTAGGTAGTCAGGGCAGCAGAAGGAGATGGATGGGAGAGGCTCCGTTGGATGAGCGAAAGAGGAAAGGCAAACGTAGAGGACGGGCGCGGAGCAGCTATGGCCTGTGAGGCTGATGGACGGTGGTGGATAAGGTCATCTCGGGAGCTTGTCCCTTTGGACCAGTTGAGTCCTGTCACCAGGGGTCCAGACGGGTTCCCAATCGACACCGAGAGCCAGAATGAGGACGGATGGTTTGTGTGTGTGTGTGAGGGGGCCAAGACATGTTGCCTGCTGCCTGCTGCCGCTAGCTTGCTTAGATATCTCGACCAAACCAGTCAGCCTTTCTTGGCCTGCTGGTTGCATACATCGTACATGGAGGGAGAGGATGGGGATGGGATGGGGGTAAGAGACGAGGATCGCAAGAAGGCATGTACCGGTACTGTATGTCTCGGGTATCCGAGACCGCGTGACAACCTCCACAAATGCATCCAATCCCGTTGAGTGTGTCTTGACCCTCGTGGTTTGATGATATGCACGAATGTTTGTATATGTGCACTATGTATGGTATGCATGTGTGGCGGCTGTAAGATAAGCTAGTACTTGCTCTCTAGTGGTTATTCTATTTAACCAGTGTAGGTATACGGTAGTAGTACTGCCACCATTACAGCCGTTGACTCACCTAAACACTTGAGATGAACTGACTGGATAATTGCTTACTCGCTTTGGACCTGCCTGCATATGCATATGAGAGCATATGCCGGGTCTCTAAGCGTATAAGTCTTTACACCGTAGACGCCGGCGGTCATCCTTCATTCGCCCAGCCTCGGCCGCGAAATGCTGGTGGCGGTGGCAGTGAACGAAAAGCAGCTTGAGCAGCTTATTATCCATCCCTTGCTACACACTCCCCAACCTCAAAGATGTGTCGCCTCCAATCTTCTCCGGGGCTCTTCCTATTCGTGCTCGCTTGACCAGGCCTATCAACTCTCCTTCACCGAGACCAGCCCACGGCCAGATCGGGCACAAGTCTATTCGCCGCCTGCAGGGCACTACTGCGTAGACTCCTGGCAACGCCTCTCCAGTCCTCTCTCCCCCCTCCGAGAAAGCGCGCAAACATGATGATACCCAACCGCATCTCGTTGGAACCACCTCCTCTGTGCCCCTTGTAACCATACCGGTAGCTTAGTATGTCTTGGCCTCGCAAGGCATACTCCAAGACGAGGCTGTCTCGGCATGCATGCATGCGGCTGCCTGTCAACCCAAACCATGGCCAAGGTCGCATATCTTCTGTTCCGTTCCGTATCCGTACCTAGGTACATCTGACATGGCCGTGGTGCGCGCGCTCTGGACAGAGGATTGTGTCTGAGCCGCTCCGACGTGCATGAGATCCCGCCATACGCAGACCCTCGAGAGACATGCCATACATAACCGTGAAGCCACCCACGGCCGCTTCCTTTGCTATGTGATTTTACCAGCCTTGGGCGACAATACCGGTACTGCATTGCATCTGGTCCTGCGGGGGACCTCCCGCCAATCCCACTTCCCATCATTCGTTGCTTTCCCAAGCCGACCTCGTCAACAAGATGAATGACTTCCCGAGCTCGGCGGACTTCTACCGGGACGAGCCCCGTGGCATCGAAGACAGTTCAACCCACAGCGACATCGATAGTGTCATTGGTGGCATCGGGAATGGCATCGTCACTCATGCGCCCAAAGAGGGCTTCCGCTTGGGTTATTTCGATGTTAGCTGTCTGGTCATCAACCGGATGATTGGTAAGTGCATGAAGGACCTTGGGGGGGTTTGGTTTTTTTCTTGACCAGTCCACCGCACAGGAGATCGACGATACTGACCGGCCGGCATAGGCACCGGCATCTTCATGTCGCCTAAGCGAGTGATGGAGGGCACCGGGAGCGTCGGCGCCAGCCTGCTCTTGTGGTTTGCCGGCATCATCTACTGCCTCTGTGGCACCCACGTATACATCGAGTACGGCATGAACGTCCCTCGATACATAATCGACGGAGTCGAGAGCTCGGTGCCGCGATCCGGGGGCGACCTTGTCTACCTCCAATACGTCTTCCGCAAGCCCGCCTATCGGAAAAACACCATTCTCTTGTCGACCTGCATCTTTGGCATAAGCTTCATCGTCCTCGGGAACATGGCCGGCAACTGCATCCATTTCGCACTTCGCGTTCTCGAGGCCGCCGGCTTCGATAAGCCCGAAAACGGCCCAGTCCGCGGCATTGCCCTCGCCGCCGCCACCTTTTCGTGCAGTGTTCATGCTCTCAGCCGTCGCTTTGGCATTCTGCTAAACAACACCCTGGCCATGATGAAGATTATGATTATGCTGCTCATCATCGTTGCTGCCATCGTCGTGGGAGCCGGTGGGTTTCCGGCGACCAAAAACGTCATCGCCGACAACACGTCGCCAAAGAACTCGTTCAGAGACGCGTCGAAAGAAGCCAACGGCTATGCCCAGGCATTTCTCGCTATAATATTCACCTTTTCTGGGTTCGAGCAGCCAAACTACGTCCTCGGAGAGATCAGCCGGCCTAGGAAGAAGTTTCCGATCGCCATGAGGGCCGGCGTGGGTGTTGTTGTGGTGTTGTACCTCGCCGTCAACATCTGCTACGTGAGTGGAATGATCCGCCCTTCTGGCATCCTGGAGAAGCCAGCCCATTGACCCCAAGACAGTTGGTAGTCGTTCCCAAGGACGAGCAGGCTCTGTACAACGTTGCTCAGCGGTTCTTCCAGCTCACCTTTGGATCGCTGGGCTCGGCCGATGCCGCGAATAACGGCACGGGTTTCCGCATCTTCAACGCCGTTCTCGCTGTTTCTTCCATGGGCAACATCATTGTCATGGTCAGTCGCCTCGTCCATGCATCTTGTTGTGCCAGCACTAAATATTTCTGCAGACATATACAGCCGCCCGCGTGAAGCAAGAGATTGCGAAGGAGGTAAGAGTCATATTTCCCCGGACGGGCATCCGCCGAGAATCTGTATACTGACTCTTTTGATTGAAAGGGAATCCTGCCTTGGCCAAAGTTCTTCGCCCAGAACACGGACATGAGCATCGGTCGGCTGATCAGGTGGTTCCAGAAGAAAGGCTGGTTCGTCTCGCTCCATCGGATTCGGTGGCTCTCCCCGGAGCATCATACCGAGAGGACGCCCGTTGGTGCCCTGGTACTCCATTTTGTCAGCTGCGTCATACTCATCTTCGCGACGTACGGCATACAGCCGACCACGGCATACACCTTGCTTACGTCGCTGAGCGCGTACGTCATCAACGCCTTCATGGGGACCTTTCTGGGTTTGGGTATCCTCATCCTGCGCTTCCGAGGACCACCCAGGACCGTCGCCGAAGATGACGCCTCAACCAACGGACGGGACTCGCAGCCGCTGACCTGGGCGGAAATGACGGGGAAGCGATTCCGGCCCTCCTTGTCTGTCTTTTGCGCCCTCGTGTACACGTGCGGAGGCCTCTTCCCGGTAATAACCAACTGGGTTCCTCCGGGGACCTTGTCCGCGACGCTCAAGCCATGGTACTTGCTCCCTACCGTTTCGTGGATCATCATCGGCATCGGCGCCGCTTGGTTCCTAGGTTTCGTGCTCGTCGCACGCTACATCGAAAGAAAGGATCACAGTGAGTTCGTGGTGGAGAAGAGGCCGGAATTCGAGCCGGCTGACGGCAGTAACCGAAATCCTGAGGCCGCTGGCACCGGAATTGACCTCATCCAGGTGCATGAGACGGTGTATCTCAGCTGGGTCGGTAAGGAAGCGCTTCGTTCGAGGCGGCCGGTCTTTGAAGACTCTAAACATGCGGATGGAGCTGTGAGGGAGGTTCCCATGTCTCCCTATGCGGGCACCGACTTTGCTGCCTTCATGTCAAATCAGACGGCACCCGATAGGTGATGATGTAGTCGTGATAGTGGTAGCAGCAGCAGCAGCAGCGGCATTTGTTATTATAGTATCAGTATCAGTATCAGTAGCAATGCGTCATTGTCCATCTACACTCGGAGGTGTCCTGGGCAAGCAGGCCATGGAAATCGTGAATAGTTTTTACTCATTTATTAGTCGTATCTTATTAGTCGTGTGTCCTGTAGGGTATCAAGCCTAGCAGCAGAAACAGGCTGCTCTCATCATGGTCTTTCTTCGTCAAAATCCCGCCCCCCCCCCGCCGCGCCAACTGCAGAGATCATGGCTCCTGCTCGACAATGTTGTTCAGTCGCGGCTGTAGTTCTGCCAGCGCAGAGCGGTCTTGTCCGTTCAGATAAGCGTGGAAAACCTCGCCGCGCATCAGCCTGCGTGGTGCTCGTCTTCCGGTAAAGAGCTCGAACTGAGCAAAGCCCTGTTCGGGCAGCAGGTCCAATCCGTCCATCGTTACCCAGCCCCTATGTGATACCTGCCGCGCCTGGTTTAGGATCGGCGTGTCAAGCGTCTTGTAGGCCAACTCGACGAGACAGCCGCCGGTCGGGCTGCCGAGCCAAGCCTGAGGGGCCACGAAGTTGGGCGCCGGAGCGTCGCCTATGCTATGGGTCGGGATGCAGGAGACGATCATGGTCGGCAGCCTGAAGTCCTCAGGCCACGGCTCTTCCAGTGACCGGATAATATGGAATCTCGTCTCCACGTCCGAAGATGCGCTGAGGAGCGGCAGGTCGTGCCGTTTCAGGAGGCGCGTGAAGTGGCTGACCATCTTCTCCGCGTTTACCGTCGTCCGGTTGTAGACCACAATGTTCTTGACGCCGAGCTGCAGCATGCTGTAAGTCGCAGCGCGGGCCATGCCGCCGGCGCCGATGATGAGGCCGCAGCTTGTCGGTCGGACGGCGTTCGCAGGGGAAAGTCCTCTTCTCAGACAGGCGCGGATGCCAATCCAATCCGTGTTCTCCCCGTACAAAGCCCTCACCGGTCCAGCACGGTTCCTGCAGTTGAACAGCTTCTCGTCTTCCGGGATGGTTCCGTCGGGGTTCAACCGGCGAACAGGCACGAGGGTGTTGACGGCGCCGATGGCCTGGGCGTGCCGGCTGAGGGAGTGCGTGAGGGTGATGATTTCCACCTTGAAGGGCAAGCCGACACTGGCGCCTGCGAAGTAGGGATCCTCGATGAGCTCTCGGAGCCCGTTGAGCGAAGGGGTCGAGAACGGTCGGTAGAGGTGAGGGATACCACAAGCCTTGAGGGCGGCGTTGTGCATGGCCGGCGAAAGACTGTAGGAGACGTGGGCGCCGAAGACGTATATCTTCATGGGGTCGAAGAGGAACGAGTTGTGGAGCGCCTGAGTAGCTTGGGCCGCCGTCAAACATGGTTGATTGGGGTTGTATGTTGATGCCATGACCTCGGGCACCACGCTGGTCAGAATTTGATTCATGACAGCCGAGTGCCTTCCGCGCGGGCCGGAGTTGTAGGCGATGAGGGGTACCTTGTGCCCGGTCGAGGCATCCACAAGGGCCTTGAGGTGGTTGACGTCGAAGTTGTCCTTGACCGAGGTTACAGGCTTGACGAGCCGGACCAGGTCGCACCCCAAGCGGCAGGCCCGGTGGTAATGCGACGTCCAGAACGGGTCTCCCCAAGAAGGGGAATCGGCAGCGGGCGCCAGATGGCCGATGACCTTGGAGCGCCTCTTCATCGAGATTATATGCGACAGCTGATAGTCTGTCAGCCGGAGATCGACAGTCAGGTACTCGGGGGACAGTCGCAGGCCGTGCAGGATGTAGTCCATGCAAAGCGACTCTGAAGAACCAGGAAGGACGACGTGGTATATCAGAGGGATGACGGTGCTCCTCCTTATGGAGCCAATGGTCCTCGCAATGTCCGCGGCCCTTTCGGAGTCGAGTGAGGCGGCGCCGGCGATACAGTCGACGACGATTTCGATGGCATCGGCGCCGGTCTCAAGCTCCTCAATGGCAAGCTCATTGTTCAGAAGGCTGGAAAGAGAAACCGAGGTGGCGTATGTGAAGCGTCGGTCCTCGGTGGGTATGGAGGCCAGCGGGAAGGCAGACTCGATGAAGGGGATAGAGCCCCTGGGCATGATGAGGCTGAGGAACTTCAAGAAGTGCCTCTCTGCACGCTTCAGGGTCAAGTAGGGGGCCGGGGGTTTCTGGCCGCCGGCCTGGGCCTCGATCCTCGCGGCTTCGGTGTCTACCCAGGGGCCGGCGGTCTCGGAAACGTTGAAGAACTCGAGGTTGCTGCATGTGCGGAAAATGGTACTACTCGCTGCCAGCAGGTTCCTTGCTTTGTCTTCGTCGTCGATCTTTAAATGTTCCTGGATAGCCTTGACATCCCGCACTACGTGTACGACTGGATGGGTACGGCAGAAGTTGCGCAAGAGGGTCTGCACGCCGCGCTCCATCCAACTACAGACGATCAGGGTGTTCTTGGAACTTTGGTCGAGCAAGTCTCGAAGCACGTCTGTCTGGCGGCGGTGGCACTCGGCAGATCCATGAGCTCTTTTGTAGGCGAAACTGGTTAGGCCGGTGACCTGCTGGAAGGCCTTCTCGCAGTCGACAGCGCGGCGGTCCATGGCGGTTGAGGCAATGATGGCGAGTGTCGACTTTCCGGCGCCACGGATGCCGGCAAGGACAATGGAGGCATCGGCAGGGAAGGGGGGCACCTCGGCAGGCAGATATGTGATTGGGGTTGCCGGCCTCGTCACCGGGGTCGCCGGCCTCGAACAAGCAGCCATCGAGTGCCTGCTGCTGTTGGTCCTCGGGCTCTGGGGCTGACTGGAGGGGGCAGGATGGGTATTGCGAGCGTCGACGCGGACAAGGTTTGTAGAGTCCTCGAGCTGGAGTGAGCGGCGGTGGTGATGGCCGTGGCGATCCTCGTCTTGGCCATCATCGTTCATGGCCATGTCCACAAACGAGCGCTTCACTCCAGCTGTGGCCATGGCGCCGCGCTCTCTCTCTCTCCCTGCCTTTCTTTCTCTCTTTGTGTCCCTCTATCCCTCAGCCTGGCTTCTGACAGTCGCAGGCGGGTTGGAGATGAAGGCCAGGATAACTGCGCATACGCTAGTGCTGAGCTGAGAGGGTGTGCGTGTGTGATGATGGTGGCGGTGGAGTGTTTTGTCGCCCAGTCCGTGCTTCGTGGAAGACAGATGACAAGGTCCCAGCTCTTTCTCCTTTTCTCGCCTCTCTCTCTCTCTTTTTCTCTCTCGCGGGCTCTCTGGAAGAAAAGAGGCTGTTAGCCAGTCAACGGAGTCCGACTGGTCAAGCCCGGATCGCGCGGTCCAGCCCACCTATCGGGGCGGGATGGGATGGCAGAGCAGAGCAGAACTGGCAGGTGGGAGGAAAGTCAAAGTCGTTCCACAGTATCAGCATTTGGGGCGGGGGGAAGATGCCCCTCTATCCCTCTCTCGCTCACACGTAGTAGGTAGGTAGGTACTTCGTACGCCAACGCTAGTACACACTCACCAAGGTACCGAGATACCTGGGCCGGATAGGTACTCTGGTGAACGTTTACCCTCCAAATCTCGCATTAGTAGGTGACTTGGGCACCTGGGGAAGCGTCCCCACGTCCAGTTGGTGGGTCCCGCCTAGGACAGGTAGGTTATGGTGGTAACATACCCTAGCCCCTGCCCCACATGACAAGGAGGTCGAAGGTACCGCACTAACACCCCGCACCCAGAGTCCGTCGTGCACTGCTCGTCGTCGAACCGCCAATTAATGCCACTGCAATGCCAGGTGACCAGCCCGCCTGGCCTTTGTCCCTCATCGGATTCTGCTGAGGCATCCGGCAAAGGCGACGTCGTGGCCGTCTGTCTGCCCGACCGTGATGAGGCGCTGGTTACCCCATGATTTCCCCACCTCCATACCGATCACAGAGAGAAGAAAGAGAGAGAGAGAGAGAGAGACCGAGAGAGGCGGAGAGTCGGATAGCCAGACCGACCAGACAGACATCGCGCGAGAAAGGGTTTGCGCGCGCACACGAGAAGCCCTGAAGATCCAACTACGTCAATCAACATCGTCGACGCTGCTTCGCTTCTTCCGTTTTGCGCAACGCTGCGCTGCCATTCATTGCCAATCATTCAATACCTTGTCTCTCGCCTCCGATCTCTCGCCCCCTCCCCTCCTCCGACTCCCTGCACCTCCGCTTCCGCCTTCGCTTCTCCGTCGCCTCTTCCCCCTGCCCGGCCACCCGCTTCAACCACCGTCCCTTCATCGACGTCTTCGCCCGCCCCTTTGCACACGACGCGCCCTCATGCAGTTCCCAGCGGCGTGAGCTATTGGAGCCGCTCTGCCGCTCGAGGCATCCAACAAGTATGCCCCCCAAGAGGAAGGCTCACGACGCCGACAAAACTGTCGCTGCCTCCGCCGACACCGCCGCCAAGGCCCCTGCTGTCCCGAAACGACAGCGCGTCTCTCGAGCCTGCGACCAATGTAGAAGGCAAGCATCCATGAACAAACCATTCCCGCCTTGCTTTCTTTCTTTGGCCATGCTTGGCCAATATCTTTGCCGACAGACAGTCGCTGACTGAATATACAGCGCCCGAGAGAAATGCGACGGTGTCCAGCCCCAGTGCTTCTCCTGCGTAACACTGTCGCGCCAGTGCACCTATAATGTCGCCCCCAAGAAGCGCGGCGTCCAGACCGGTCTGATTCGGACCCTGGAGCTTGCCCTTGTCTGGCTGTTCGACCAACTTCCCGAAACAGAGGACAGACTGGCTGCTCTGCTGGCCCAAGAAGGCGACAGTGGCCAGTCTCTTTTGTTGGACAAGGACAGCGACGACGGGAATCGACTTCACAAGAGGTGGAGGAGATGTCGAGTCCGCAGAGACATTGACCGACTTCTGTCCGGCAAAGACGGCGCAAGCCCCCGCCAGGACACCTCCGGCGACGATTCGGAAGCCGAACCCGACCCCCGCTGCAAACCCAACGGCGAAACTCCCCGAGACTGCACCGACACCTCCCCGCAACCGGCCACTACCGCCGACCAAAAACAAGAAGCTGCTCTGACAGACCCTAGTTCTAGGCAGCGCCACGGGTCGACGTCCCGGCGGAGATTCAAGTTACCCCGAAACTTTCCTCGATTGCTCGACGTCTACTTCTCTTATACCCATAGCTGGCTTCCGATACTAAATTCCAAGGAAGCACTCGACAACGCTGCAGCTTCCTATCCTCCAGACGGCCTCGACATCGACCCGGAGGACGCAAGCACTAGCGCGGCACATGCAGAACTCTGGAGTGCCCTCGCTGTCGGCGCTTTCCAGAACTCGACCTCGTTGCACGACTCGGGGCGGTCCGAGGCCCTGGATCGGCCCAGCTTGATACTGACAGCTGCGCGCAGCCTGATACCAGTCGAAGCCGAGATGGCACTAGGCCATGTCAAGGCTTTGCTTGTATTGTCTCTGGTCAAGTTGGGCCAGGACAGTGCGGGAGCTGCCTCTCTGCTCATAGGCTTGGCCGTCAGGGGCGCCATGGCTTTGACCGATGGCCAGGCACGGGATAGGCACCGCGACTCGATTTCTGGGCAGCCGGCATCGTCGATACAAGAATCCTATTCGAATGCTCTGGATCGTGTGTTGAAAGCCTGTTTAATGCTCGATACCATAGTATCCCTGAGACTCGGCCAGGCACCTCACATGAGGGCAAGCGATATGAAGGAGAAGCCGGCGGAAGAAACTGGATTCGAGGAATGGGCCCCGTGGGTTCCCAGGGCTGGATTTGGATCTGTATCCCCGTCCGAGAATCCCGCGGGCACCGGCCAGAGCGCACAGTCATTAAGTTCCTTCAACCAGCTTTACCAGTTCTTCCGCATCCTGAACCAGAGCGTCGAATCGGGAGCTGCAGGCCCCAAGGTCGGCGCCGCGGACCTTGTTCAGACGCTTGACCCTCGTTTCTCATTCTGCAACTCCGTAGTCTTCGGAGCCTCGACAATACCCATACTGCCCTCGGCATTTCTGATACAGGCTACCTTCCTTAGTGCCACTTTGACTCTAATGGCCGATGCTCGTGTCTCTCTCATATGGAGCCTGATGGAGGTTCTCGAGAGCTCAATATCTCACTTTGGCGCAGCTGGCGTCTCGCCGCTCCTTGTCACCTACATAAGCATCGCAAACGCCAAGAGTTGCGTTCAGGCGCTCCGGGGCAATGACAAAAGCAGATGGGACTCACTAATGGCAGACCTCATGTCCGTCTGGCAAGACCGGACGGCAAATGTGGCATATTCTCCCATGGATACGGAGCCGAGCAATCGGACGCCAACTCGCATCGACTCGGCGGTTCTGCCGTTTTCGCAGCAGGCTTCTTCTTCTTCTTCTCGCCCAAATGCCCATTATCCGTTTCCAATGAATCCGGACTCCTACCACTCCAACGGCGGTGGTTTCTCACAGACAGCCTCTTCTGTCAGCCCTTCAACAGCAAGAACGATGCCCTTTACCCCCGGGAGCCAGCTTGATACGTTCCCGTCAGGGTTCGTGGGGCATATGCCATCCACTCAAGCTCCCTACCTGATGGGACAAGAGTCTCAGGGCGTCGACTACGACGCCATCATGGACGAACTCGCTTCCATCGACTGCACAGATACCATGGAGGCGGATCCGCAGTTTATGGCCAACCTCGGCTTCGCCCCAGGATCAGACATGACAGATATGCTCCGAGGAGAATACGGCGGCATGTGAGAAACATAATGTATTATGACCTTGGTTGAGAAACGAACATCAATCCCCGTACACTGGAAATATCATTAGCATCAGGGTGCCATCTAGCTTGATACCCATTTATAGCGAACCAATATCGACCAAACACTCTTGCTGTTACATCCATCATTCATGCCAAGGACAGTGTACGGTATATGTAAGGCCATTTTGTCTAGACCCCCACCCCTGATGCATACTGCTTTGCCGAGACGAAGAAAATGAAGAACCTTTCGAGATTTGGGAGCCGGCTCCGGCAGCCAAGAGGACGATGACTTGGTGTCGGAATTACAATCATCAGGAACAACATCCAACATAAGAAAGCATGTTGTCTCAGCCAAGCCCTCTTTCCCCCACACTGGCACCCAACTCTGGGTCTGTTGGGGGAACCTGCCCGGCCGATGCTGCAATTGCGCAATGTGCGGGCGTGCATGTGCAACTGTCCAATGAACGAATATCATCATTCCGTCAAGGAGGATCTCTACTTGCAGTTTGGGTCCCGATGACGAGGCCCATGCAGGCCATTGTATCGCCAGTATTCACATGCTATTGCTTAGTCTAAGCAGATGATTACTCATATACTTCCCTCGTATTATGGATGAGAGCATTCAGTTCGGCTTCATAGCATCAGTCAGTCTACAAAGTAGAGATTGCTCTTTTCCCCTCTCCTTTCGATTTCTTTCCGATCCTTCCTCCTGCCCTGGTTAGTGCCGCTCAACGCTTGTCTTGATATAGGATAGAGGAAGTTTCGAAGGGCGGTGTATTGTGTGTCCCAGTTGGCGTTGACCGGGTATGCTCAATCCCAGTCTTTCCAGCGTCCAAGAATTGGCCCCTGTTCTCTTTCAGAATCATCTCCGAGGGCCAAGCACGCCTGTCCCCCACGTTGACTGACCGATAAACAGGGAAAGCTGGGGAACTGGATCCTTCACACGTTACCGTCATTTCCTTTCGTTGGGATGCATGGAGTCGGGGCAAAGCCACCAACTTCCACGTGCCACGTGAGACAGTCGAATGCCAATAGCGTGGACACAAGCGCTAGAAGGATAAATATTCAACCACAAGACCCTTGTCTGGACGGGGGTTCTCCAGATCACCAGGTTCTGAGAAAATGGATCTAGCCGGAACGAGATAAGTGACTGTCAGGCGGTGCGGAGAACAACCTGTCGGCACAGCTCCACGCGTTATGGAGGCGAGTCAGTCGAAGTTTGCAGAATTTGCTCCGATTCGGAGGCGACGCAGAACGGCCAGTTTGGCCTAGGGGAGAAGCGTTCACCCCAGAGTCGACGCTGCGGAGAGACCCCAGATCTCATCCGTTCATCCCTTCCCCTATGTTCGGCGTGGGTTGGCCATACTCCGCATCCAGACCCCAGACTTTACCCCAGACGCATTGATACGCCGACAGTCTGTCGGTTTGTTTGGTATCGAATTGTTCAAGGCTGACTGGAGTGAGCCCTGACCCCCCGTCCATATAACAAAGGCAACCCTGGACTGTCAGACTTCGGTCATTCCCTTCTTCCCTCCCTTAGACTATACCTCAACCTCCTCACTGCCTTGGAGTTCGGAGCTCAGAGTTCGTAGTTCAGACTGCCTGTTACACGCTCGACACGAAGAACCTCGCCCGTCCAGAACAGCAGTGACGGCTGTCATCGCCATCACAATGGCTCTCCTCGCACTTGTAGAGGACCGCCCTACGCCCAAGGCGGTGTACAACTGGCGCGTCTACTTCTGCGCCATCATCGCATCCTTTGCCAGTTGCACCATTGGTTACGACTCCGCCTTTATCGGAACCACCCTCGCGCTCAAGTCCTTCACAGATGAATTCCAGTTCTCAACCTACAGCAAGGAGGGTTTGGCTCTTCTGAAGTCCAATATTGTCTCTGTCTACCAGGCCGGCGCCTTCTTCGGAAGTTTATTCGCCTACGTCAGCAGCTACTTCCTCGGCCGCAAGAAGAGCTTGATGATATTCACCACAGTCTTCCTGCTGGGCGCCGGCATGATGCTGGGCGCCAACCGTGAGCGAGGCCTTGGTCTCATCCTTGCTGGGAGAGTTCTTGCCGGTATCGGTGTGGGCGGCTGCTCCAACATGACGCCCATCTACATCTCCGAGCTTTCGCCCCCAGCGGTCCGTGGACGTCTTGTCGGAATCTACGAGTTGGGATGGCAGATTGGCGGCCTCGTCGGCTTCTGGATCAACTATGGCGTCGATTCGACCATGGCGCCCAGCCACTCCCAGTGGCTTATTCCGTTCGCTGTGCAGCTGATTCCCGCCGGCCTCTTGCTCATCGGGGCCTTCTTCATCCCCGAGTCACCTCGTTGGCTCTTTATCAAAGACAGGCGAGAGGAGGGGCTGAAGGCACTTTGCTGGATGAGGTACGTGTGAAACGTCTTTTGGCGTCGGGGGCCGCAATCCCGTAAAGTGACGGCGAAAACTGACTCTTGCAACCCTCTGCAGAAACCTATCCCCCGATGACCAGTACATCATCGAGGAGATGAACTACGTTGATGCCGAGTTTGAGCAATACCGCACTGAAGTTGGCGTTGGTTTCTGGAAGCCTTTCGCGTCTCTCAAGAACCGCAAGGTTCAGTGGCGCTTCTTCCTCGGTGGCATGCTCTTCTTGTGGCAAAACGGCTCTGGGTAAGCTTACCGGTCCCTTTCGTGACGGTGTCTCTGGACGCCTCTCTCCTCCTCCATGCCCGCTAACCTGGCAACCAACAACAGTATCAACGCCATCAACTACTACAGCCCAACGGTCTTCAAGAGCATCGGCATTACCGGCACCAACACCGGCTTCCTGACGACCGGTATCTTTGGCGTTGTCAAGACTGTCGTCACGTTTGTCTGGCTTCTCTGGCTTATCGACCATCTCGGTCGCCGCAACCTCCTATTGATCGGCGCCATTGGCGGTTCCCTTTGCATGTGGTACATTGGCGGCTACCTCGCCCTTAACCCGCCTTCGGCAAACACAGGCGGCGGTCTCTCTAGCGGCGGCATCTCTGCCATGGCCTTCTTCTACCTCTGGACAATGTAAGTCACTGGCTATCCTGGAGAGATATGAAAACAAAGTAGGCTAACATATTCTCCAGATTCTACACCCCTTCGTATGACAGCCCCTCAACCAGATGAAAATGGAGCATGTATTTGGTTTGAAATTTGTACTAATGCTGAATCCAGATGGAACGGTACTCCTTGGGTCATCAACTCAGAGATGTTCGACCAAAACACGAGGTACGTTGGAAATCATTAAACGATATGGCGGCTTCTGATCGCTAATGCAATTCCAGATCGCTCGGACAAGCAAGCGCAGCCGCCAACAACTGGCTCTGGAACTTCCTCATCTCGCGTTTCACCCCGCAGATGTTCAATGCCTGGGACTACGGGGTCTACTTCTTCTTCGCCTCCCTCATGATTTGCTCGGCCATCTTCGTCTTCTTCCTCGTGCCTGAGACGAAGTCTGTGCCTTTGGAGAGGATGGACCGCTTGTTCGAGATCAAGCCGGTGAGGAAAGCAAACAAGATCATTATGAACGAGTTGGCGGATGTGGCCAACTTCAGAAATGACTCCGAGGATGGAATCAGAGAGAAGTCCGAAGATGCAGAGATAAACCAGGTAGAGAGGAAGGATAGCGCTTGACGAACGGGCTTATGGATTACTAATGCGGTTGAAGGGCATATAAAAGGGTAGAATCAGTGGAGTGGATATTCCAAGATACAGTCTTTGGGAAAACACATTCGTTCACCCTAAACCGATTCCTCAAGTGATAACCAAACACGGCAAAGCAAGGGCACAAGCCGACAGCACCAGAGAGTGGGGCAATAACTGTTAAAATGGAGACGGTTATTAATAATGAAAGAAAGATAGACGGGTGGGAATGAATGGCTTCAAGGGCGAGCCGAAGTGCTGCATAATTAGTGTCAGCTGCGTGTTGGCCTGGCACGCCAGGGCAGCGAGCCTCCCAAACACTGCTGATGTCTCTACGGACCCCTTCAGGCTTCTCATGGAAGGTTGTGGGTTTGAGAGCGGGCAGAGGAGAGAGTCTCGCGTAAAGGGAACGCGCTGAGAGTTCTTGATGAAACTAGATGCAGGCAGTTTGGAGGTATGATGACCAAATCTGAATGCCATGATGGCATGCAGGAGGCGTGTGGCCACGTTATGAGACACCTGAAGCGAGGTGGTATTCCGTGAGCATTATGTAGAGACAAGGGACCAATTCCCCGGAGCCTGTCATCTAGGATACAAGGAGGCTCTTCTGTGCCGTGCCTCGTCGAATACAAAATACTTAAACCTGCGTAAACATTATTGCAAGGTAAAATCAGCCACCTGGGCAGGGACACAAAGTATTTGGTTAGCTCCTCCACCGATCACGACTGAGATATTGAAGATTTCGCATGTGCCCATCCCGTTCCCTGATGCATTTGTTGAGTGGGCACCACGCTGCATCCATAGAGGAGTTGGTAGACCATAAAATGATTAAAAGAGTTGGTTCTCCGTCCACAGTGTACCTGGAAGAAGTGAAACAAGACCATTGAGGGAGAGACGATGAGTAACAAGGCGAACGTAAGGAACTACAAATGCCTAATGTATGCGAAGGTGATTTAGATATGATATGTGTACTACCTTATGGCACACTCTACAACCACATTCGTTGTTCGCAGTGCACAATAACGGCCCAGATTAGATGCTGTCATTTTGTTTTAAGATGAACGGGTATCTATCTATGCAGTAGGTAGCGGCCCAAGTCCGTTTTACATTTGTGGTTGGCAGAAAGCCAAACTCGGCCGAGACTCGCTAGCTGTTGCATTGATACTTTGATTACACTTCACTCTAACCCGATGACATCGTGACATGGAGCCACAGGGACATGATGTGCACCGCATCTCACTGGTTTGGATTGAAAGAGTTGCAAGCCAGCCTACCATACATTTGATCGGCGGAGAGGCTGTTCAGCGATGCATTGTTCAGAAAAGAAGAAAACCAAAGGCAGGCGCTTATGATGTAGCTATGCGAGTCATGTACAGGTCATTGAATCTAGAGTTTCGAGTGTTGCGACAGCTTCGCGGCTATCGCTTCCTTCACTTGTTGCACAGGCAACTGATCGACCTCTCTACCGGTCCAGTAACGGTCCTGCGGGGGAGAGGGGTGGGATATATAAGCCTGATGATACGCAACGGAAAGCCGGGCAGCCCTTGCGGCTCTGTTCACTCACCTGTTCTAGTCCTTGGTAGATCATGGCCTCGGTGCCCAAGATGAGCTGCCAGCCAGCTTCTTCTGCCAGGCCGGCGATGGCAGTGTAGGGCGTGGGGTTGTAGCACATTTCCAAGATGGCGCCCTTGCGGTCCTTGTTCAAGAACTCGACGATGATGTCGCGCGCGACAATCTCTTCGGGCGTCTTGGGCGGGAAGTCGGGCACACACGACACAACGGCGCCGGGAGCCTCGAGCTGCCGGGCTTCCTCGACGGTGGAGACGTGGTAGATGCTGTCTCCGTACCCCCGGGCCGAGCACTCGGCGATGACGGCGTCGACCTCGCCCTTGTCGCGGTTGACGAGGTAGATGTCCGTGGCCTTCATCCACTTGCGCAACGCGTAGACGGCGCTGCGCGCGGCGCCGCCGCCGCCGATGACCAGGGCCGGCTTGTCGTGGTAGACGGCGTCGGGGTCGGCGACGTTCTGGACAAACGACTCGCGCACGCCGACGACGTCCGTGTTGGTGCCGCAGTATATCCGCTTACCGTCGCGTTCTCTGATGAAGAGGGTGTTGCACGCGCCGACATCGCGGCACTCGTCCGTCAGCTCGTCGAGGTGCGGGATGATGGCCACCTTGTTGGGCATGGTCACGGAGCTGCCGTAGAACTTGGGGTGCTTGATGAGTTCCAGGAACAGCTGCAGGTCCGCCGAGTCGAGCCTCATCTGCTCCCACTTGAGGCCAATGCCCTCATAAATGGTGCTGTGCAGAAGTGGCGACAGGGAGTGTGTGATTTTCTGGCCGAACAGATATCCGTGGCGGTCAAGCTGCTCAATCTTGGCGGCAATGGACTCGTCCACCTGCTCGACGGGAACTCCTGCACTGGCCATGGCGGGTTATGCGTGTTGGGGAGGCCGTATCGAACAAACAGTTTGCCTGTGAGTTTTGTTTCCTTTCCTTTGCTGATCGGTTGGTCGGTTGCTCCAAAGGGGTGGTATCTGGGCCAAGTTCTATACGGAGCGAAGATGATGGATGGATATAGTCAGGGGAACGACGAGGAAGATGATATGGCGTGCGTCCCGGCGGGAGATGCAGCAGGTAATGAAATGTAATATTTGGAAAAACGGAGGAACAAAATGTAAGTCTTGAGGACCCCAAAAGCGGGTGGATAATTGCTAGTAATAATAGAAAACGGGGAAAACGTCCTCGGCAGAGCCACTTTTTGTTATTCGCGCTCGCGTTTGATTTGATCGTGTTCTTTTCTCCGGTCTCTCTCCGTCTCACAATCGTTTTCTCGTCTCCGACTGCCAACCGGTGTCCCTCGGCGCCCAATGGTATTGCGTTTATTTGTTCTTACGGTAGAACGGGGCACCTGATCGGAATTGGCATCGAAGCCGCGGCATCAGGTCTCTTCCCATCAATGACTGGCAGCACACACTCACTCCAAGTGCGCTCCGGCAAAGCACTCTCCAGCACAGCACAGCAAGCCGTTGATTTGCCAAGTGCCGGATGGACATTGGAATAGTGGGCGGGGTCAGGTATAGTACAGAGTATCCGTACAGTACATACAGAAAGACGCACGCACGCAGGAAAACAACCCCCCCTTGTTCGTCGTACTTGGGGTAATCCCGCACACACACCAACCCACCCAACGGGCCAAGCCTGGAGATTATTTATCCCCCCCCCCCCTCCGTGGGAGAAGTGTTTTCCCTAAGGCAAGCCGAACGACCCGGTGGTTACTTGTAAGTTTAACGTCACCAGCCGCTAAGCCAACAACGATCAACCACACTTGTACTGTAGGCAGGCATGCGGAAGAGCGTCGTCCAGACTATGCCCGGCTACCTTCGGCTGCGTCCTAGAACCCCTCAGATCAACGTGGTCGCAGAACATCTAACACCGATGAGGTGGATAGGTGGCGGGTGAATGCTTTGCTCCCTCCCCCTCCCCCTCTCTCTCGAGGGCCCAGTGTAACCCGGTGTTAGGATGATAGCATATGATACCAGTGGGCAGGCTGTCTTCAAACCCGTTGGCTGTATGGGTCCGGCATGGTCTTTGTGGGTGATGTTGCATGTCTTCCCAGTTTGCCGACGCCAGACGTATACGAGTAAACGCCCGCCGCCCTTTTTGAATTCGGAATACTTCACTCAGTCCCTCTTCTATCCCAACCAATCTTCCTCCGTCTCATGATACCATACTAGCCGTCCGTCGCCCCTTCTACTACTTGCAGTTCTCGCGCGCGCGTTTGATATCCTCGACATCTTCCTCCGTCGCTAAACGTCACATCTCATCCAATATGCCTTCTCGTTTAGCCATCACCACCATGTCGCTCGGCCGATGCTGGGCTGGCCACAGCTTTGAACACAAGATGGACATGGCAGCCAAGTATGGCTACCAGGGCATCGAGCTCTGGCACGAGGACTTGATGGATGTGGCCGAGCAGCTGCCCGGCGGTGCTGCTCTGCTCGAAAACCAACTCGCCGCAGCCGGCATTGTCAAGAGCATGTGCGACGCCCGCAACATCGAGATCGTCTGCCTCCAGCCTTTTATGAATTTCGAAGGACTCGTCGACCGTCAACAACATGCACGCCGCGTCGAGGAATTGCGTGTTTGGATCCAACTCGCCCACGTCCTCGGCACAGACGTGATCCAGATCCCGAGCAACTTCTCGCCGGCAGACCAGGTTTCCGATGATCTTGATCTTCACGTTGCCGACCTTGCCAAGGTGGCGGACATAGGCGCCGCCTCCGAGCCTCCCATCCGTTTCTCGTACGAGTCTCTCAGTTGGGGAACGAGAGCCGACACCTGGGAACGCTCCTGGGAGATTGTACAACGGGTTGACCGTCCCAACTTTGGCATTTGCCTCGACACGTTCCACATCGCCGCTCGCATCTTTGGCGACCCCGAATCGGCTTCTGGGATGGCCCCTGATGGCGAGCAAGCCGTCAAAGAGTCTATCCAGCGACTGCTCTCGACCGTCGACGTCTCCAAGATTGTGTACGTGCAAGTCGTCGACGCAGAGCGCCTCGCCGAACCCATCTGCGAAACGCACCCCTTCTACAGCCCTGAGCAGCCACCACGCATGTCGTGGTCAAGGAACTGCCGCTTGTTTTACGGCGAGTACTCCAGAGGAGCCTATCTCCCCATCCGGGAGATTAGCGCCGCGATTTTCCAAGGTCTTGGTTTCGAGGGCTGGGTCAGCTTCGAGCTTTTCAACAGGAGGATGTCTGATGAGGACCATGATGTCCCCGAGGAGCTGGCGAGCAGAGGAGCTGTAGCTTGGGCCAAGTTCGTAAGAGATATGAAGCTAAGAGTAGATGGGCCGTCGAAGGCGACGGTAACGGCGTCACTATGAGCACCCAGCACCGGTTTGCGTGGATGGCGACCATGAGTTGCAACGGCGACTGTATAATGTAAACATCTTTTCTTTCTCCTGATGAGCCATGGATTTTGTTCAAACCTCTACGTCCTTCCTTGCCCCCAATGTTCTTGATGCATCTCGGCGCGAACTTGACAGCAGCATGTACATACCTGTAAACGCACAACCCACAAGCAGCCGCCACCGTGTTGCTCAGACAGCACTTGTATAGTCTGCATTCTCCCCTTATGAGGATGTTGGTTACCAGGATGTTACGAAGAGAATATTGGAAACCATGAGTGAATCGCGGTTCATGAGCGACTCTTTACACCATAATCGATAGGCCGAGTTCTCCTTCCATGAGTAACGAAGACGCCTGATAAGTGACGAGTTGAGAGTTGGCGCAAGCTGCAGGAAACAAACTTGAGATGGTCTTCCCGCCGGGCCAGCGCTCTTGAATCCGTTAGATGTCTCGAATCTAGAGCTCTGCAGCTCGGGAGTCGAGCGCCAGCAACTCACTCACTCATCCAAATACTCATTCAAACACTCACTCAGATGTCCGGCCCTCAAGCTCCTGCGGATTTCCACAGGCTTCAGGTACCGAGGAACCTTTGGGTGATGCGCTGGGCCCACCCTTGTCTTTAGGGACTTTAGGGGTCACCCCTCAGGCTCCTGAGAGCAGGGAGCCCATGCGGAGACTCCCCGCTGATGGGAGACCGGACGTCATCCGCAGTGCTTCCGCGCCCGCCATCTTTCGGTTGGCGGCGGCCCAGTCAAGGGTTTCTGACAAACCAAACTGAACCCGGCCCGACAACGGATTGACAGGTTCGTTCATGTTTGTGCCGTTACACTCCTCTCGCTATTATTCCCTCTCCTTTCTGACTCTTCGGTTCACTGACTCTCTCCCATTCTCACCTCCTTTGGCCCCCGTTTTTATCCTCCCAAGAGATAAGTCGTTGCAAGAAAACCCCCACGATGGCGGAAATCAGCGACACCGAGCTCCGCGAAATCTACGACTTTGCCGTCCAATTGGGTAAAGAGGCCGGCAACCTGCTCATGACGGCGGCCAAGTCGAGATGGGGAACCGGAGGGGGACAGCAGGCCTTCACAGAGAAGGACAACTCGGTCGACCTGGTGACCAAGACGGACACAGGTCTGTACACGGGGAATCCGATGCGCCGAGAGAGTGTTGGACATGGCATGCTGACGAGCTTGATTCGCGATTGCAGAGGTTGAAGCTTTCATTCGCACATCCGTCGCAAACAAGTACCCCAGCCACAAGTAGGTCCCGACTTATCCTGGCCGCCGGCCCCGATGCATACGCCTTTTGTCTCCAGTTGCACTTCTGACACGCTGTCAGCTTCCTCGGCGAAGAGACCTACTCGGCCGGCGCATCCCGCGAATACCTCGTCGACGACAGCCCGACGTGGATCGTCGACCCTCTCGACGGCACCGTCAACTTCACCCACCTCTTCCCCATGTTCTGCGTCTCTATCGGCTTCGCCGTCAAAGGGAAGCCCGTCATCGGCGTCATCAATGCGCCCTTCTTGAACCAGACCTTCTCCGCGTGCAAAGGCCACGGCGCCTGGATGAACGAGACGCAGAGGCTGCCCCTCGTTCCAAGCCCGCTGCCGGCCAACGCGCCCAGCGGATGTGTCTTCTCGTGCGAGTGGGGAAAGGATCGCCGGGACACGCCGGACGGCAACATGCACCGAAAGGTCGAGAGTTTCATGAACATGGCAGCCGAGCGCGGAGGGAGAGGCGGAAAGGGCGGCATGGTGCACGGCATGAGGAGCCTGGGAAGGTGAGTCGTGGTTGACACCATCCGCCTTTGGGCACAACACATGTTGACGGATGATAGTGCGACTCTGGATCTGGCGTACACAGCAATGGGATCGTTCGATATCTGGTGGGAAGGCGGGTGCTGGGAGTGGTGAGCGAACCTCGTCCTTCGAGAGAGGTGGGAGGTCGGGCGCTAACAGCAGTTCTTGCAGGGACGTCGCCGCAGGATTCGCCATCCTCGAGGAGGCCGGAGGTCTGGTGACGGTAGCGAACCCGCCCGAAGACACGAGCATCATCCCAGAGGCGAAGCTGGGCGGCAGACTCTATCTTGCCATCCGGTACGTCGAGTGACTGAAGCAGCCCGCATCGTACACAGACACACACAGCTGACCAATCCCAGGCCCGCAGCAGCAACCGATACTGAGACAGCACGCCAGGCACAGGAGAGAGTCGTGCGGGAGACGTGGAAGCGAGTGAGAAACCTTGACTATTCGAGGCCCGGAGTGTAGATTCTATAAACAGAGAGAGAGAAAGAGAAAGAGAGAAAGAGAGAGAGAGAGAGAAAGAGAGAGAAAGGTAGAAGAAACATGCGAAATTCCAATTACAGGTCGGCCCTCGCTCGCTCCCCAGCCCACGCCCTTCGAACGGTTTCACGGATTTTGGGCTTTTCGAGGGGACGAGGGTTCCAGTAAGGCGTGTCTGAAGCAACGTCTGTGACGCGATCAATGTCCGTTTCTTTCATCCCGAGATCCTTGAGTCCGCTTGGTATATCCAGGAGCCGGAGTAGCTCATTAAGGCCGGCCACGATGCCTTCGGCCGAGCTTCCGGTGCTTTGCACAAGGGCGGAGGATAGCCTCGTCATGATATCCTCGGAGAAGCACTGCGCGTTATAGGCGATGCTATGGGGGAGCAGAATGGAGTGCGTCTCGGCGTGGGGGAGGTTCAGCGAGCCGCCCGCCGCGTGAGCCAGCTTATGCTGCAACGCGATGCCGGTCGCCGTTGCCATCATGCCAGCTAGAAAGGCGCCGTAGAGGGCCGACGTGCGCGCCTCGACTGACGCCGGGTTGGTGACGATGACGGGCAAGGCGCTGGACAGCGCCTTGATGGACTCCAGAGCAAAGTGGTCCGTCAGCGGGCTGGCCTGTCGCGAATACAACGCTTCGACTGAGCTCATAGTTAGTTAGCCACGTTCAGGCTGCTTACCCGCCCCCCCCCCCCCCCCCCCTCCGAACGCCGTAGACAGACTTACACGAATGCGCCATAGCGTTGATGCCGCTCGGGGCACTGACTTTGACGGGCAGGTCCATGGTCAAGTCGACGTCGTAAATGACCACCTTGGGCAAGATCTTGGGGTCCGTCGTCGACGTCTTCTTACCGTCTTTGGTCTCGCCGATGATAGGTGTCATCTCGGAACCGGAATACGTCGTCGGGATGGCCACCTGCGGCATTCCCGTACGAAGCGCGATCGCCTTGCCAAGGCCGACTGCGCTGCCGCCTCCGACCGAAACGAGCACATCTCGGTCCTTGGCGCGGTTCACGGCGGGCCCGATGATGTCGCTGGGATTGTGGACCTTGGCCGTGTCAAGGATCTCTATATCTGAGAATCCTGCCTTGCTCAAGTTGTCCCGGATTCTGTGGGCCAGAGAGACACGGGACGGCGAACAGATGATGAGAGGCTTGGAGAGGCCTCGGGATTGAAGCTCGCCACTCAACTCGTTGACCGTGCCCGGTCCGAAGAAGACCTTTGGCGTCGTGATGCCAAAGACGAAGGGGGGGATAGTGTTCATGACGGGCAACCTGTTAGCAATTGTTTCTCGAATAATTGTACCGGAGAGAGAGAGAGAGAGAGAGAGGGAGAGGGAGAGGGAGAGGGAGAGAGAGATGAAGAAGAAAGAATGAAACAAGATAGAGAAGGGAACTGTAAAAGGGCGCTGCGGATGATAGGCCAACGCTGTCAGTAGTTTGTCATCGGCGGGGGCGGGGTCCCGACCGCCCTGCTGTAAAGATCTCGGGCCCGGTGGCAGAGGCTCGGCAGTCAGCCAACACGGACAGGAAGTGGGCGGATGGGGTGGGCGGTTTCATCGACCATGACCTCCTATCTGCAGCTTTCTACCTATATAGGTGGTCAAAGCATTCTCCTTTGTGACTGCGCAGGCGCATGGAGCTGAGGCTTTACACTGGCCGCAGTCTGTGAATAAGACGCCTTCTGTAGGCAGCTAGAGTAAACCACCAACGAAGGTTCAAAGGTCGGATCGGTTCAATTGGCCGTGGTCACCTTTTCTTCAGGTGGCCCTGCAGGGTATCACTAATTATGTACATCTACTTAGTCCAGACCGTCAAACCCAAGGATGCCGTGAGCACCCATGGGGCCAAGTTTCGCGGCAGCCCCCGTGTTCTGACGCTTGCTCCGCCTTTTCCCACCATCGTCGCTGTCACTATCGTCTTCATCGTCGTCGCTGTCGCTATCTTTCGCCCGGCGCTTAACGGTAGGTTTATCACCGCCGTCGCCGTCGCTGTCGCTATCGTCGTCGTCGTCGTCGTCGCTGTCGCTATCTTCGGCGTCCCCTTGGAGCTCCGACAGCTCTTCCCATACCTTAACCGTCTTGCCACCAGCCGTGATCAGGCGGTTCTGCGAGTCAAACATGACAGAGATGACGCCCTCAACTTCGTCGTGTCGGAGATTCAGTGACTTGTCAACCTCTCTGGTGACCAAGTCGACGACGCGCAGGCTGCCGTCGCCAAGCCCAACCACCAGCTTCTTGCCCAGGCCCAGCTCCTGAGGCACAAGGGCCATGGTATCTAGACTTTCGCCGCCTCCCTTGCCGCCGTCGACGATGATGCGCTCCTGTTGATCATCCCATGCACCCCTGTCCCAAATAGTGACGACTCCGGAGCCGGATCCGACGGCGACGATTCCATTGTTGCGGTTGTGCTTGGGGCCGAGACCGGGAACGTAACAGGCGGACAGCAGCTCGTCCTCTTGGTCGTCAGACCGGACAAGAACGCCTCTCCTCACATCGGTGACGGCGAGGGTGGTGCCGCCAGTGGAGACCCATTGCTTGGAAAAGCCAGAAGTGCTCTCGGCGGAGGGCGGGAGGGGAACGATGGCAGAGACGTAGTCGGAGTGAGGGAAGTGGGTTTGCGCGGGCTTGGCCGAGGGGACGCCGTCTCGTAGGTCAAAGATGTGCACGGCGCCCGAGTCGCAGGCTACAAGGAGGCTCTGGGGGTTCAGGACGTGCATGAGGGTCGGGGCGTCGATCTGCTTGTTCGAGGAGGGGATGGCGGCCTTGGAGATAACCCTGCCAGTCTCGGGGGAGAAATGCTTGATCAAGCCATCGGTGCCGGCAGAGTAGAGGGCTGACGAGTCCTTTTGGTTAGCTGTGGCTCACGGCGCCGCTGGCTTGGTGGTTTTGTCCGTCGCAAGACTACTGACCAGATCCATCATGGTTGTAGGCCAAGGCTCTGCAGCTTCCCTTGTGCCGTCTCGTACGCCAAATGCTGTCAATGGTTCCCCGGCCGTTGGACGCGATGCTCGTATCGGGATCAGCCGAAGAATCGGGGGAGTCTTGTACGGGAGGGGGAAGGCGGAAGGTTTCGACGTGGCCGGTAGACAAGCCAACGGTCAATAGCGGCTCGGTGGGATGGAGAACCTGGGTGAAGACCTCGGCGGACAGGGGCAGGGTGCAAAGGTTTTCGAACATGGTTGCTGCGACTCCTCAAATGGAAGGCTAAGGAATATTGGTATATTGAAATGCCGGGAGAAGGGCCACGTCCAAGGGGGTAGGAATCGAATCTGGACGAGGTAGATTTCCAAAGAAGCAACAGGGCAGAAACTGACCAAAGCCATTGGGAAGCCGGCGATTGAGGAAATTTTTGAGGTGAGCGGCTCACCGAGGTGTGGACGCCCCACCCGAGCTCTCACCAATCGGCGTAGCTATGTGACGTGCAAGGTATCCAACGAAGGGTACCTAGGATCTAGCCAGGTACTCATATTCAGGACTCATACTCAGGTACTCAGGTAGGTACCCGTGACGGCGTGCCGGGTGAGAATTCGAAGCAAACCCAGGGATGGCCTGGTTCAGACGTTTTGGAAGATGCAAACACGGCACCCTTTTTTACGACCGATGGGCAGAAAACCGAAGCGTCTCATCCATCGTCTGCCTACTTACATCTTACCTTGTGCCGATGCCCTGCTCTGCCCTGCTCTGCCCTGCCTGCTTCCGCCGCCGTCTAATAAGAAGGCGCAAGCGCAACCAAGTAACACACAATGTTTCGTTGACGCCCGGGCGATTTGAGGACTTCCTAACCCCCCCGCCTCTTCCCACCCTCCCGCTTGTCCTTCATGCATCTCATCTTTAGAGAATCTTCCTATCGGTCCAGCACCATTTGTAAACTACCTAGGACAAGAGATACGTATCGCATCTTCATAAATACCTAAGGCAGGCAGGTAGGTAGGTACTAGCTGCCTGCCTAGGTAGGCATGGATCGGTAATTCCAAAAGACTCAAAGGAAGGACCGGGAGGATCGATACCAAGTACGTACCAACGTGCCTGCCTACCTACATCGTACCTACTAGTACTACCGGTAGAAAGAAGGCAGGTCCGGAGGAATCATCTTAAGGTTAATTGGTGCGGGGTCGTCCCGCCCGCTACACCAATAGCTTCCCTTTTGGTGCCCGCTCGTAATACTGACCGGGCTGTCCGACGTCGCATTACAGGTCAGTTACGGTACCAAGGCCGCACCAACACTGCTGAGAGGGAAGCTCGCGCCACAACATAGCGGGGTTCCTGCACCGAGAAGATCCCTGGCGCAAAGAGGAAGCTGGGACTGATTGACTGTCCCATACTACCTACCGGTAATTAGATACCGACCTAAGCACGACACGGACAGCATCTGAGGGGATGCAACGTGATTCATTCAACCAACCACACGCTTTCCTCTCCCATTGTCTCGCCGTTTCGCCGTTCCATCGCCTTTCCGTCCAAGTCACCTCCTTTGTTCTCCTTCGCCCTCTATCGTCTATGGCTGGTCTCTAGCTCTCTGCGCTATCACTCTTCTCGCATGCACTCAGACTCTCGGAGCTTTCCCTCCCCTTGTCTCCCGTCCACAACGTCGGCACATCATGAAGCTGCTTTCCGTGGCCTGGGGCGGTCTGCTAACCCTTTTGCAGTCCGCCACCATGGCTTCCGCCAACGACTCTAGCCAGGAGTCGGGAGCCGGTCTCAAATGCGTCATGTACCTAACTGGGTATGACTTCGCTGTCTTGGCATCGACACCATCCCGTGTCCTCGCCATTCATTCCCTATCATTTACTCCCTCACTGACACACCGCAGACAGCACCCCGACGTCCCCTCCAAGGAGCTCGTGGCTCATATCACCCATGTAGAGCTGGCCTTTATGAACTCGGACATCTTCAATCAGGACGTCTCCGAGTGGCCCCTCTTCACCACCGTTGACAAGGTCCGCACCCAGTTCATGCCCGGCACCAAGGTCATGGTTGCCATCGGCGGCTGGGGTGATACCAAGGGCTTCGATACGGCCGCCCGCACCCCGGAGTCGCGCCAGAAGTGGGCCCAAAATGTCGCCGATATGGTCAGGGCTACCGGCGCTGACGGTAGGATCACGTTGACCAACGCCTAAACAAAATGGAAAGGGCATGCCGCTGACGTATCGCAGGTATCGATATGGACTGGGAGTACCCTGGGTAAGCCTTGACAAACCGGAAAACCTCCTTGCGAAAAGGCAAATCGCTGACAAGAGGCCCAGTGGCAACGGCGAGGATTATAAGATTGTTACCAACGAAGAAAAGAAGTGGGAGATTGACGCCTACCCCCTGCTGCTGGAGGAGGTCCGCAAGCAGCTCCCTGACGGCAAGCTTATCTCCGCCGCGACGCCAGGGCTTGAGCGAGACATGATTGCCTTTACCAACGAGACGGTCCCCCGCATCATGCGCAGCCTTGACTTCGTCAATGTTATGACATATGACATGATGAACCGCCGAGACACCGTCGCGAAGCATCACACGGGCTTGGAGTTATCAAGAATAGCCGTCAACAACTACATGGCCAGGGGCGTTCCGGCCGACAAGATTAACCTTGGCTTTGCCTTCTACACCAAGTGGTTTAACACGACTGATTGTCCGGAAGGACAAGAGCTTGGGTGCCCCATGCCACTGATGGAGGATCCTGTAACCGGCGGAGATCTGGGCCAGACAGGCGGCTTCAGCTGGAACGACACCATTCCGGACTACGTAAAAGCCTCGTTCAACAGATCCCAAAACGAGGGTCGGTATGACGAGAAGGGCGGTGGCTACTACTACCTTGATAGGGCCGAGAAACGATTTTGGACATACGACACCCCCGATGCCATACTTCGCAAGTTTCCCGCCCTCGTTGATGATCAGAGCCTCGGCGGAGTTTTTGCCTGGGGCCTGGGCGAAGACGGTCCCGACTTCAACAACCTCAAGGCCGTCAATAAAGCGTTGGCAGAGCGCAAGAACAGGGGAGGAGCAGGAGGAGATTATGATTCTGGCCGTCATGAGACTGATGAGCTGTAGGTGAGCCCCTGGACAGAGCCAAGAGAGCCTTGCCATGTCGCATTGGATGAATCATGAACAATCGACTCACTGTTGGGTTGTGCCTAGTGTCAAGCGTGCACCGTTACATGTGGATTGAAGCGAGAGGGATGAGTCGACGAGTTGACAAAAAAAGAAATGGGGGATATGGACTCGTCATGGCCTAGGAAACTGAAAGGGATGTCGCGGATATATTTATTCAAGCTCAGGTTGATGTTCACGCTGTGTCTTTGGTTGTTCCCGTCCCCTTGGCGAGCGGCTTCTGGAAACCAGGTCGAGGGTGCCCTTACCATGACTTGGCATGTCGTGTCGCGAGCTGGAGTATGTGTCGGCTCAGATATTGATAGATTGGCCATGTGGTGCCGAGGCGGAAGATGACAGATATGGGTAGCCTGACTGCAACTATTCAACAGCTTTTGAGACGCGTGACGCGTCCACGGACTTTTCTTTTCGTGCCTAGGTAGGCAGTCCCGCAATTAACCAGGTACCTAGGTACACACTTCATGCACATGTCGCCGAGGATAGACGCGGATACACTAACTGCGAGGCAAGATAATGAGGTGCTGTGCGTCGCTAGCTTGAACCATGGAGCGGCATCAAGGACGCTAGCGCAGCTTTCACGAACCGGCTCTCGTCGGGCAGCCGTCAATGTCGCTGGCCAGCGTTTGGTCCTTCACGGGCTTGCGGGCAAGCTTTCAGGATTATGTAGGCGCGTGTGTCTTCGTGCATGCGTGGCGGCTCATCGGTCCCCAGTCGGCTTGTCTTGGTTATTATCGAGATGTCTCGGAGCGATCTCATCCAAAGTGATTGATGCGCACTTTAGTCATGTGTGAGGATTGAACGCCATGGGTTCGGAGAGGAGGGACCACCCTGAAAACGTCCTTTGGTCCAGGCCCAAGATCAGGAATGAAAAAACACGTCATGCGGGGGCGACGCAGCGGGGAACGGACAGCGGGTGCCGGCACGTCGAGATCTACACTATGTACTACGTACGTAGTTTTTTAACATCTAAGCTACATCGTATTACCTACCAGTCGTTTATTCCGAGGGCTATCCAGGGTTCAGCGAGACCTCCGCGTGAGGGAGGAAGCATGGATATCGATGGAGCCGGGGCGTTGGCTTCGAGAGGGTACCTCGGAAGAGAGAGGCGGAAAGCCAAGAGGGGAAGGATGCGTAAGGGCCGGCCGAACCCGGGGCTGAGCCGGACAGGACGAGAGGAAAGGGAAGACGAATAAGTAAAAGAAGGCTGGTCGGTCGTCTGAGGGGTGCAGGCCGTGATGGGGCCAGCGATGGGCTTACTCGGCGGTCAGTACTGAAGGTTGGGCACACGTCATCAGGGTTTTCGTGGTTCCCCGGTCGCGTTGCTCTGGATCCTTAACCCGCCGAGGTACCTAAACGATGTGCGACGTATACCTATCTGTACACCATTACATACCTAGGTAGGTAGGTAGCTACAGGGTATACCGGTATACTACCCACATAGTAGGCGTCCCTGTGGAGGTGTAATCGCCACGTCCCGTTTCTCGTCGTTGGGTGCCGGAGCCGAGATGGCGCGGGGACCCACTGTTTGCCGGTGTCAGCTCAGGCCACTGCGACTCTGCCTGTCGACCAGTAGGGTGCTGCCAGCGCCGGTAGTTGGGCGGGTTGGGACGCATCATGTACACTTTGGCTACGTAGGTAGGTACCGGTAGGTGGGTATGTACCGAAGATAGATGCTATGTGGTAGGTATGCTGATGCATGGGTCCGTCATCCATGTCTTTGCATCAATGGGCCAAGAATGCAGGGTCGCGTACCTCAGTGCAGTGCGGTGAAGGATTGGATGTAAGTGGCTGGCAGGTGATGTAGGCCGAGTTGAGTGTCTTAAAGGTGAACGAGGGAGGCCAATCAAACTGATGGTCATGGCATTTATTCGTCCAAGTGTGGGCGAGTGTATGTGCACTACCTACCGACCTGGCTACCTGTGTTCCAGCCCTAGGCTCCGGGGGTCATGGTTTCACTCTGCAAGGTCTCTGGAGACGAGTCTTGCTGGCCGGAGGGTACGTGTCTCAGTACCTAATCGGACGTCGACAGACAGCGAGCGGTTCGCAGACCATGACTTTGTCAGGTCTTACACTACCACGCAACTAGGTAGGCAGGTCACTCTCCTCCTGCAGTCCGGGACGAGGATGAAGAAGTCAGTACATCATCGACGGCTGCTAGCAGCTTTTGGCCTCCATATCCGTACCAGTTGAAATAGCAGTGCAGTATGGACGATGGACATTCTTAGGTAAGGTGGTTGGTAGGTGCAGATAAGTATGTAGGTACCGGTAGGTAGGTACATGGTTGCCCACAGGACCTAGGTAAGGTAAGAGTGAACCCTGAGCACCTAAGCGAGAGTCACACGCCACCCCCGGCCGCCTGGCGTGGCGTGGCTGAAGCCTGAAGGTTTTGCTTGTGCTACGTGCACCGCAGCGCAGCTTAGCGGCAACTTTTGTCTAGCGCGGCTCATGATTGGCCGAAAGCCCTGTCGACCCTGGCCTGGAACCATCGCAAATGAGGTCATATCCTGGCAACCACGTCATTGTCAGCTATGCGGTGCGCTTGAAGCCTCATTACGCATCGCCAATTCCAATTTCAACCACTCGTGGGCTGCTTTGAAGAATGTGATGTGACCGTACGGGGCAGCGTGCGCGTACATTGTACTAGACGCACTACCCACGTATTGAGATATGCCTCAAGGTACTTACCTACCTACCCCATCTCCCCATCTAGGTACCTAAGTGCCCCATGGAGAGAGAAAAGGGACCTCTGCTGTACACTGCACCGGCAGACCATTCAGGTACCCCCAGGTACTGCAACTTCCTTCGCCTTTCTTGCCTCCCAATACTGGCATGGAAACAGTGATTTCATCCATTTTTTCCCTTTCCATTTTTTTTCTTTTTCGTTTCTTTCGCTCTCGCTGATGCTTTGGTACTGACTGTGCCCATCTGACGCCATTTGCCAAACAAGGAACTGGCCTTGCGCCTCTCTGCCCACTACCTACATATTCAACCAGGTTGCCTCTCTTGATCGCAACTTCTCCTCCTCCTTTCATCATTACCAGCCAGCTACTTCTACTACCAGTATTCTGTTACCTGCTAATTAGTACGCCGGACCCGCGGTGAGAATACACTGTCAACATCGTGTACTGCCTCATCATCCAACCACCCGACGCAACCTCGCACTTATAGACACCATGGTCGCCCTCGTCCCCATCGCCCACATTGTGGCTGCCGTATTTTCCATTATCGAGCTTGGCCTGAGTTCATATGGTAAGGCTCCCATCGGCGTGTCGCAACTTGCTCGCCGCACCCACTGACACATCCATGATAGTTGCTAGCGGTTACAACGGATACAACGGCTGGAGCGGCTGGTGGTCGCGATCCCCCGACATCGTCAACTTCATCATCTTCAACTCGGTGTGGTCTCTGCTGGTCCTTGCCTACGTCGGTCTCACGCCCTTGTACATGACCCGTCTCTTCCACAAGCTTGTCTCCCTCGCCTTGCTAGTCATCACCACCATCTTCTGGTTCGCCGGCGCCATCGCCCTCGCTGTATTTGTCGGCGCTCCCAGATGCGGCGCCAACACATACTGCGGCTCTGCCCAGGCCGCCGTTGCTTTTGCCTTCTTCATCTGGGCCATCTTCATGTTCCTCACCGTTCTCGACACCCTCGAGGCCATGCGCTCGCGCGGACACAGCACCAAGGCCAACCACGCCTACCCCGGTGCCTAAACTAAGGGTTATTTCGCTATGCTCAATGAATGGGGAATCCAAGACACTGAGTATGGGTACAGCGGTTCGACTTTCTAATTCAACGGCCATGGAACGAAGTGGAAATACCCCTCAAGTATGGAATGGTGTTAGGGTTCTGTTTTTCTCGGTCTGCATTGTGGAAACACCTGGCGTCGGGGGGAGCAGGAGGGCGACGACACTGTATTGTTTACGAGCGGCGTTGCGTGTCTCGCAAATGCATATCTTTACAGTCAAGATTAATACTCTGTTTTTCTCAACCATGCCTCCCTGATGATGTCTACGTACCTTGTTCCTCTCTAACCAGTCTAGGCTTTATCAAAGTGATGGCGAGTCGTTGGTCTAGACTCTGTCTTTTCATTCAAATCAAGACCCTCTAGCGGTCTATACATATAGGACAAGACAGATAACACCCGTACGCTACGAAGGCAGGAAAACATAACATTGAATGAGAGAATGTGTTGCGCTACTTCTTGAGTTGCTGACATGGACGAAACATCCTGTCCTTGTCGCAAAGTGGCTCAAAGCAGAATTCCCAATCAAACTACACTAGTTGCCTTCCAAGCATGTCAGTAAGAGACGCCGCTACGAACATGTGCGCCATCGCGTATCGCGCCCGCGTTGTCTGTTCATGTTGTCTCACAGGCACCGGATCAGTGTGAGCCAGACGCAGCTGTTAGCCTGGATTTTCAGTACAACTGCTGACTCGCGGGGTTGATATGGGGAGTCTTGGCGACATGCGCTTTGGCTTCGGGAACGCCGCAGCGGCAGTTGGGGTCAAATGGCAACGAGCGATACGTCCCCTGCGCCGGCCGGGGACGCCGGGCTCGGCATGCCGGGTCGCCGGGTCGCCGGGATCGGGGCAGCTGGTCCGGCAAGGCTGGCGCGCGAGAAGAGGTCAATGTCAATGCCCGGGAAACCGAGAACGGGGCGGGGGGGGGGGGTTAGAAAACAAGAAAGAAACAAAGAACATCTCGGTCGGTTGCACATCGCACGCACCCGTCTGGTTCGCCGAGCACGTGTGTCGGATGTAACCAAGCCAATAGTCACGGATGGTTCGGTATAGAAAAGAAGGGGGGGGAAAAACCCCCCGCATGGTACGGTAGGTCCAACACACCTTATCGTGGTCGAAGCTTGGGGTTGGAGTGCCAATTGGCGAATCAGGGGACGTACCGAGGGCACACGCTACCTCTGAGCCTCAGAGATAGCAGGCCGCCAAGGCCCGCTAGCGGGTACCAGAGATGGAGCCCAGAGGTCCAGCGAGAGATTTTAGGTTGTGTCCTCCGTACTACTAGCTACCTATGTAATGAACTTTAATTGGGAAACAATGTGGTTTGTTTGGTGCCAGCCTGTGAGACCCAGGTGTTTGGGCGGGCGGGAAGCTGCTCTAGCATAATCACCCTTTGATTCTTTCAGTCTTTTGTTGGACGAAGAGCCCTCCACAGCAGCTGGCTCCTTTCCTTCGTTCTGTGTGTTCTGTACTTGTAGCCATCGCGCTTCACTTCAATATGGCCTCCATGATCTCCTTTTGGGATTCCCATCCCATCCCTACCTACCTATCTCCTTCCATCTGACCTTACATGACGTTCAATGCTCCTATCCCCCCTGCTCTGCTGCTCTCTCCGCGTTGTCGCCTTCTTCCAAGTGTAACCCGACACACCAACACACACACACCACGTGCTGCCAACCCGCGCATTCTACAGGCCCACACTGCTTATCATCGCCCAATTCCACTTCCATCTTCCATTTCCACTCTCACTCTCACCCTCACTCTCCGCCTACCCCAACCTCTTCCCCCGGTTCATCATCCTATGGCTAGCGGGACGGTGAGCGCGGCCATGCCGAATACAAGCATACTGTCCGAAGCGGCCCACGCAGGCTCTCCAATCCGAGTCGGACGGCTCACCACCCTTCTACCAGACTAGCCACGCCTTGGTTATCTCCAGTTGCGTATGTCATACCCGCGCTTCCTCCATGGCCGCTGCATCTGCTATTTGATCTTGGCAAAGAAACCCTATCTTGCTTCCTGTCCCGGAGAGCTGGACCTACAAAAGATAAGGGGACCGGCCCCTCGGCCTGCTTCGTCTCATCCTGCCAACCTTTCGTCCTCTCCTCCTCCAGCCTCAGGTCCTGTAAACCCCCTCAGCCCTCCCCTCCCTCTACCCCTCCTTTCAACGGCTCCTTCGTCCCTCGCCGTGCCCCTTCGTTGCGCGACCATTGCTTGCTCCCCCGTCGACCATTGCCTGCTCCCCCGTCGACCATCAGCCAGTCAGTCGTCAGTCACCCTTCGGCCGCTGGCATGCACTTCAACGCCGTCGTCGTCTCCGGCCTCGTCGCCGCCGCGGCGCACCGGGCCGGTGCCTCCCCGTGCCCCAAGCCGCCGCCGACGTCGTACAAGCCCATTACCAGCATTCAGTTGGGCCCGAGACCCTATTGGTTGGTCAATGACATGGAAGAGGGCCCTCTCAAGGACAAGCTGCAGTCCTGCTCCGAGCAGCCCATGAGATCCTCCAAATGGAGCATTGGTCACCGTGGCGGCGGCACCATGATGATTCCCGAGGAGTCGGTTGAGTCCAACCTCGCCGGTGCCCGTATGGGTGCGGGCATCCTCGAGTGCGACGTCGCCTTCACCAAAGACCGCGAGCTGGTCTGCCGTCACTCGCAATGCGACCTGCACACGACAACCAACATCGTCACCATCCCCGAGCTCAATGCCAAGTGCACCACCCCCTTCGCCCCGGCCGCGAACGGCGCTGCGGCCACCGCCAAATGCTGCACCTCGGACATCACCCTTGCCGAGTTCAAGACGCTCTGCGGCAAGATGGACGGCTTCAACGCCTCCGCCACCAACCCCGACGACTTCTTGCTCGGCACGCCGCGATACCGCACCGACCTGTATGCCACCTGCGCCACCGTCATGACCCTCAAGGAGCACATCGCCATGACCAACGACCTGGGCCTGCTCTTCACCCCCGAGCTCAAGGTTCCCGAGGTGGAGATGCCTTTCGACGGGGACTACACCCAGGAGAAGTATGCCCAGCAGCTCATCGATGAATACAAGGACGCCGGCATCGCCCCTGAGCGCGTCTGGCCCCAGTCCTTCTCGTACCCGGATGTCCTCTACTGGCTCAAGGCCGAGCCCGAGTTTGGCAAGCAGGCCATTCTCCTCGACGAGAGCGGCGACACCCCGGAGACTTTCCCCTACGCCGTTGGCAACCTGACCGAGTACGCCGCTGGCGGCGTCAAGATCATGTCGCCCCCGCTGCACTACCTGGTCACCGTCGAAGATGGCAAGATCGTGCCCAGCATCTACGCCACCAAGGCCAAGGAGCTGGGTTTCAAGATCGTCTCCTGGTCCCTCGAGCGTTCCGGCTTCTTGCGCGATGGCTCCAAGGGCGGATACTACTTCACCACCGTCGCCAACGTCACCAAAAACGACGGCGACGTCTACAACCTGCTCCACGTCCTGGCCCAGGACGTTGGTGTTTTTGGCGTCTTCTCCGACTGGAGTGCTACTGCCACTTATTACGCCAACTGCTTTGGCCTGTTCTAAGCGACCCACTCACTGTCTGGTAGATGGAAGAGGCCAAGAGAGAGGAAAACTGAGGGAGAAACGGATTAATGACCACGCCTACGACGGCGTATGACGACCAGTGTGGAGGCCATGTTATATACGACACACATATATTTATGTATATAGAATAGTAATGTCACGATACCCGATTTCTTCTGCCTCGCCACGAGGTGGCCCGAGAATAATCCGCAGAAAGTCATATCTGGGCAGAGTGCCATCGCCACTGACTCCTACTGGCCGGGTTTACAGACATGGCCATCTACCTAGGTACTGACATAATCTATCAAAATGGGCCAGCATAAAACACGGGGCGGTTTCTGTATCTTTACTATCCGCAGGCGAACCTGGTAGGAGCCAATTTGTCAGCCTTTCACGCGCTAGATGACCTTGCAAATAGTGATCAAGTATTGGTGACTTCGACTGAGTGAATCATGGAAGAATATTCCCACCAGTTGTTTTGATTGTTAAAGAATAACGTGAAAAGGCGACAAAATAAACGGCATGTCTTCACCCTTGAGGTATGAGCTCCAGTCACCTACCCACCCGTGCAGGTGACCTAAACTCTCATAGAAGCCTCAATCCAGAGGCCACATTTTCTGTCGAATTCATCTCCCAATCATGCCTCGAACAAGCCTTCAGATGCTTCGATTCGTGGTAATACACCCGGATAGATGAAATTGCGTATGCCCTCGCCCAGTCCAGCCCACGGCGCCGCGGGCCGAGTCCCTCGTTGGGGCCCCATAATATTTACACCGAGCTCACCGGTCGGTGAGTCTGTCCTGACCTTAAATTCGGTACCCCGCCATTACCGTAACCCCGCCATCGACTGACATTTAATTCTTCTCCTTCAAAACCCCCCCCCCCGTCGCCAAAGAAAAGTTTTTTTTTCCTTACCCTGCAACAGCCGGCGGCCATGACAGAGCTATCAGCGGCGCCCGTCCTCTCGACGCCCGCCGAGCACACCTTCGAAGACCCGACACCGACGCCCCCGCCGCCGCCGACCGAGCTGCGAACCGAAGATGAACTCGCGTCCGTCTACGAGATTGGGCGCACGGCGCGCGAGATCAAGGAAGGCGGCTGGAACCGCGTCGCCCTGCAGTTTCCGGACTCGATGCTGTGCGACGCCTCGTGGGTCGCCGAAGCGCTGACAAAGGCGCTGGGAGGCGGCGGCGACGGCCACCGGGTCTACATCCTCGCCGACACGTCCTACAGCGCATGTTGCGTCGACGAGATCGCCGCCGAGCACGCCGACGCACAGGTCGTCGTGCACTACGGCCGCTCCTGTCTGTCGCCCACGTCCAGGCTGCCCGTTATCTACGTCTTCACGCGGCACACCCTCGACATCGGACAGGCCGCCGAGGCCTTCCGGAAAGAGTTCCCAGACAAGGAGAAGAAGGTCGTCGTGATGGCCGACGTGACATACCAGGACCACGTCGTTCCCCTGACGTCGAAGCTGCGGGCGACCGGATACACACAGCTACTCCACACCCAAGTGGCACACGACCCCGCCGGCACGATACCGAACCGCAGCATCGTCGACTCGGCGTCCCGAGAGGGTTCCGAGACCGACCTATCCCAGTACTCCCTCTTCCACATCTCCGCGCCACCTCCGGCGCTCCTCCTCGCCCTGCAGACTCGGATGGCCTCCCTGCACGTCCTCTCGACGCCGAGCCTCTCGACCGACGACCCGACAAGGACGACGAACGCGCTGCTGCGACGGCGGTTCGCGCGGGTCCTCACGCTGGCAACGGCCGGCGTGGTGGGCATCCTCGTCAATACACTCTCCGTGTCCAACTACCTGGGCAGCATCGACCTCCTGAGGCGGCGCATCGCCGAGGCCGGGAAGAAGAGCTACACGGTGGTGGTGGGCAAGCTCAACGCCGCCAAGCTGGCCAACTTCGCCGAGGTCGACGGCTGGGTGGTCGTGGGATGCTGGGAGAGCGGGCTGGTCGAGGAGGACGCCGGGTTCTTCAAGCCCGTCATCACGCCCTTCGAGATGGAGGTGGCGCTGAAGCCCGAGAGCGAGCGCGTGTGGGGCCTCGAGTGGTGGGGCGGCATCGAGAAGATGGACCACACCGCCGCCAGGCCGGACGAGGAAGAGCTGGACGAGGATGAGTCGGCGCCGCCCGAGTACGACTTGCGCACGGGCAGGCTCGTGGCCAGCCGGCCGATGAGGATGCCCATCCGCTCGGCCAACGGCGCCGCCAAGGCCGACGACGGGGAGCGGAGCGCCCAGGCGCCGGGGCGGTCGGCCCTGGTGAAGCGGGAGGTCGGGGAGGTGGCCACCATCAACGGGGTTCTGAGCCCCGGCGCCGAGTACCTGCGTTCGCAGAGGACATGGCAGGGCCTCGGGACGGATTACGACGAGGAGAGCAGCACCGTCGTCGAGGAGGGCCGCAGCGGCGTTGCGCGCGGCTACAAGGTGGGAGAGGACACCGGCAGAGCATAACAAGGACTGGGTTTCCCGGGCACCAAAACGGCGTAGCGGGGAGGTGGGGGCACACTTGGGACCGGAAAATAGACAGGGAGAGGAACGAGACGATACCACATTCACGAACATGCCCCATCTCCCTCCCTATTGGAAAAGAAAGATATCAAGACAGTCTGCAACTGACAGACTGTAGACCGAGACCCGCGCACATAAAGCGTTGAAAGAACCGGATAAGAAAAAAGATCATGTCTGATATTTCCGAGTCGACGCCGTTAGATTCATCATCATTAAAGGAGGATTCCTCCCGCTACATGCGCCGGGTCGCTAATGGAAACAGAAACCCCCCCTCTCATCCTTTCCTTCGCTTTCGTCGTCTTTCTAGGCATCCCTATCCTCGTCTTTATCGTGCTACCATTCCTCATCGTGTCATTGCGTGGTATCTTTTCTCGTTCTTATTCTCGTTGTTTGTTGTTGTTGGTCGTGATTTGATTCGTTTCCTCCGCCCATCCCCCCCCCCCCCCCCACCAAAAAAAAAGTCCAGAATTTGCATGGGCCTCCCCTCCTGGACGATGGATGTACACATCGCACAGTTGGCCCACGGCGTGTGCTCTTAGACGTAGACACGGCGGTGCGAGTGGGAGCTGCGACGGCTGCGGGAGCGATGGCTGTGACCGCGGCTATGACTGTGGCTGTGGCTGCGGTGGCGGTGGTGGTGGTGGTGGTGGCCGTGGTGGTAGGACTTGCGCTCGTACCTCGAGGAGAGGTGATCGCCGTGAAGCCAGGCGAGGACGGCGGTGAAGAAGAAGAGGATGGTGTTGATGATGCCAAAGACCCACGACGCCTTGAGCATGGCGCAAGGCTTGTTGGTGAAGAGGTTGAAGCGCGGGCCGGAGACGACGATGAAGCCGGGGAAGTTGGCAGACCAGGTGCCGTTGCGGGCGAGATCGGTGCAGCTGACGTAGTTGATGCCGCGCAGGTACCAGACGCCGGCGATGAAGGCGCCGACGAAGGCGAGGTCGATGACGGCGACGAAGAGGGCGTTTGTGCTGCTGCGGTGGTAGCTGAAGAGGGTGACGATGGCCCAGGCAAGGGCGAGGACGGAGACGATGAAGAGGACGAGGATCGAGTTGGGAACAATGAAGTTGCTCTTGACGAAGCCATCGACGAACCAGGCTAGCATGCCCATTGTCGGGATCTGTGTCGTGTTAGCCCGGTTAGCTCTCTTTTTTTTTCTTTTTTTCTTTCTTCTCTGCCCATTGTCATCTCGCGCGCCACTGTACAGTACGTGGGCGACGAGGCGGCGAGATGGCAAGGCTGAGATGAGGGACAGAGACAGAGACCCCAAGAGAGTGCGTGAGAGAGAAAGAGAGCGCTTACCAAGGTGATGATTTGCAGGAACCTGGTCGCCGTGAACAAGACGGCGAACAACATTGTGGGCGGTTTAGCCTGGGCGGCTGCGCACGTTTCCCTGGGTGGTTGCTACGTGTGTGAATGCGACAAATGCGACGGTACGCGTCGGTGTCTTTGCGCGCTCTGCGATGGCGATGTCGCGATGCTATTTGCTGTCGAGGGCAAGTGAGTGATGGAATAGAGTACGACTCTATTCTCTCTCTCTATCTCTCTCTCTCTCTTCCTTTTGACTTTTTTTCTCTCCAGGGCAGGCAGGCAGACAGACAGACAGACAGACAGGCTGTTCAGACGAATCCGGGCGGGTGGTTGGGATGGGGAGGGTAGTTAAATAAACAAGTACGAGGTCACAGGTGTGAGTGAGTGAGTGAGTGGGTGGGTGAGAGTGGATGGGCCAACGAGTGAGCTTGAAGCAGAAACAGAACCAATGCAGGTCGGGTGTTTGGCCCCTTGGGTCAGCAAGTCATGGCATGGCCAGGCGGGTTAGCAGTCGTAAAAAAGCAAGGCAAGGCCGTCGTCAACCCCCCAAGGTCCAGGTCCAGGTCCAGGTCCAGGTCCCAGGTCAGGGTGCAAGGTGCAAGGCGGTACCTAATTACTCGGTGAAGACGTGACAGGACAAGACAGGACAGGACGAGACGGGATGGGATGGGATGGGATGGGACTGGATTGGGTGGTGAGCAGTGAGCGATGACGATGGGGGAACCAACCCGGCTCTGTCTCTCATTGCGTAAACGGGGTGGTTGGGCTGGATCGCAGCCATGGATGGTGAAGCAAGGCGAGGAGATGCAGCGTAGCATTCAGTGGACCAGGTAGGTAATGGGTATTCGACAAGCACGCTTCCTTTCTCTCCGTCTATCGGATGCGGATACTTTTGTTTCCCTTGGCGTCGTGCAGATGCGATCCTGGAGATGGTGGCATCGAAGAAAAGGTAGGGATGCAGAGCTTGGGTACGCAGTAGGGGGAAAAAAGAAGAAGCAAGCAGCACAGCACAGCACAGAGAAGGTGGCAGGGGTGGGGTGGTTCCCAGTTTCCTTCCTGCCCAATCCTTCTCTTTCTTTCTCTCTCTCTCTCTCTCTCTCTCTCTCTCTTTCTCACACACACACACACACTTGAACACCGGCGATGACATGGCAAAATATCTGATAAGATGGGACGACAACGGATGCTGTTGCCGACAGCTACTTACCTAGGTAGGTACGTGCCCTTCTCTCTGTAAGGTAACTAGGTTACTTGACGGGAAGTCTTGTCTGGTCTGACGGTTTAGAACCTAAGGTGCCTAGGGTACCTAGGCTACTACTATAGGTAAGTATCGTACCTAATGAGTGCAAGATGGGTGACTCGACTCGAAGAAACAAACGACCAGGAATCACTAGAAGAAAGATCTAGCACCCGTCGAGAAGTCCACTACCCTCGAGCAAACAGGCGTCAAACAATAGCACAGACCAACCGGCCTCAGTGGAAGCAACAGCCGAGCATATGTCGCAGAGCGGGAGCCCGAGAGCGCCGAGACATGTCTGTCTGTTTCCCTGTCTCTTGGGCCGGAAGGGAAAGAGAAGGGGGAAAAAAAAAAAAAAAGGAAGAAGGGCCTTCCCTGTGTCAGTCGCTATGACGTCGGCGATCCACACTCTGGCCTGTCCAGTGCCCGTCAGAGTACGTACCGCCTGAGCATATGAAATACACTGTAGTAGGGTACCCTGTACCAGGACGAATCGAGGTGTTGTTTGCTTGAAAGGGGGGTGTTCGTCATCTCACATACGTGCAGTATGGAATGCCTTTAAGAAAAACGAGATAAAAAGAAGACGCTCAACATGGATGCCATCATCATCGCCAGTCAGCAATCCGGGGCAGACTATGATGTTTCAGCCGTTGCCTTCCTTGATGTGCCGGCCGTTGTCTTTCGAGGCGGTGGTTACCTCGGGTACATACCCCGCTCACAAATAGCACTCTGTGGGAAGGAATCCATCTTAATGCTTCTACTGCGTAGCAATCTACCGTACCCTTTATCTCAGGGAGGTGCTGTGGCGCAGATGGAATGAAGAGAAGATTTAATGTACGATTGTTTCCCACGCTGTTTCAGCGTAAATCTACCTGGGAAGGCGCGCTGGGTACACAGTCACATTACGTGTACATGTCTTACAACGGAGGTAGTCGCGGCGGACTTGGTCAACTTTCCGTTTCCCGGCCAGCAGGTCACGGTGTATCTTTCTAGAGTACCTACCTAAGATAGGTAGTGTTGGTCGTGCACACAACGCTTCAGGAAGGTTCCAGCCAGACGCACCCAGTCGTCCAGACCAAGAGAAGGACAGAGAAACAGGAAGGAAGGAGGGGCGTAAAAAGGCAACCGCCAACTCACTCCCACTAAGATGGTTTACAATGCGTTACTTCCCAGCCAGCCAATACGACACCTCCCCACCGCACCCTCCTCGACGAAATGTTGTGAATAATCGGGAAGCTACTCTGTACTCTGAGCTAAGAACGGGCTTCTTTCTTCGTTTCCAGACTGTACTGCTTCTGTCCATCTTTTCTCTCTCCCCCCCCCCCCCCCCCCCCTCCCACACACACACACACACACACAAACACAAATCTCTCTGACCATCACGTGGATGTTCCTTCTTTGACCGCCGCGAAACAGGAAAAATCAAAAACAAAAACCCCCAAGCAAGTGGAGACGGATGAGGTGGCTGGGAACAACAGCCCATTCAACCCGAGTCCCCATGCCCAATCCAGCTGGTTCCACAGCGCTGGCCGCGGCCCCACGAGGACTCCCTTGCCTCCGTCTCCCCTACACTACATACAACCATCTACAACTGTCTGCTGGCCCGGGGAGCCCGCCGGGAGCCGCTCCGCTCTTCGCAAATCATCGACCCGGTGGGAACCACGTCTCCGAACCCACTGCTGCCCCCTTCCTCGCCGTGTTAGCTCGTCGGCCCGGGGCTCCTCGTCATGTTGGTCTACGTGTACTCTGTATAGTACACGTAGATCCGTCAACGACTTATCATCTGTCTACATGCACAGTTCTGAAGGCGCGCCGGATGGATCCATCACTCTCGCATGCCTATGCGACTTTGTCCAACGTTGTTCGTTTTGTGTATCCCTTTCTGCCAGACACGCGCCATCCAATCGATCACAGTTCAAAAGGTACAGAGTTGCCGGGTATCTTTCTACATCATTACAGCCATGTACAAAAACTTTTAGGTGTCTGTAACGACAATCCCCCTCCCCCGGGAGAAGATGGTCAAGGAAAACCACCATCCATCCGCGCGTTTGATGAACTCACATGCCGTGGTTCCATATCGCTCCATGTTTTCGCCTCCCAGACCATCCGTTGCCGCGGCCCAGACCCATATACATCGTATGGTATCTAAACATGCTTCTATCATCCCATAATGCATTATCCCCCTTCCGTCTGTCTTACTCTTCTTTCGCTCTTTTCTATCTTGGCAACATGTTCGCGTACGTTTCTGTTTATGCACCAAGCCGTCGTCTCATGGCTCATGGTCGTCGATTACATCTAGGTCAAAGTCGCGAATTCGCGGCGTCATGTTGTCCGTGTCGGACCAGTTCCGCGCCCGCCGACTGTGGCCGCCGCCCCGCGTGCTCCGCTTCTCCACCACGTCGTCGAGCGCGAGGAACCCTCCCGGTCCCATGAGGTTCCCCGGGAGAGGCAGCAACTGGTCATAGGGTTTTGGTGCGCTGGACCGCGCATCCCCCGCGCCGCCGCCGTCGTCGCCGCGGTCCATGCCGCCAAAGCTCGCGGCGCTGCGCATACTGCCTGACCCGCTGCCCTGCCCCTTGGCGTTGTCCCGGGACTGTGCCCGCTTCGCGTTGGTCCCCGCCCGGCTCGACACGGGCGTGCGCACACTGCTGGCCGTGTCGCTCTCGCTGACGACGCTGTATCCCGACCCGAAGGGGGGCGCGGACCCTGTCGAGTAGACGGAGCGCGTGCCAGGCGTCTGGTATCCAGAGCCCCGCGACGCCGTCGACGGCGGCCGCCGCGGGTATACGGAAGGACGCGTAGGGCCCTGGACGGGACTGTTGCTGCCCGATCCGCCCGAGCTGTCGGCCCCGCTGTGGTTCGGCGTGTTCCACGTGTGCTGCACCACCCAGCAGTGCGACAACTCGTGCGACGCCTCGTCTAGCGTGCTAGACCCCCTCCAAGGCGGTACCCTGGTGCCTTTGAGCCGGGGGGAAAGATGGTATGGCACGTTGTCCCGGTACCGCACGTAAGGGGCGTCGACCGAGACGCTGGCCAGCGTCTGGAGAATGCCGTAGATCAGGACCCACCGCCCGCGCCTGGCCACCGCTGGGTCGACCTCGCCGATGCCGTCGCTCTTCTCGAACTTGACAAACGCGTCGATGAGGTCCGACTGCGTAAAGTCCGAGCCCAGTACGTAAATGTTGGTGGCCTCCGTGTACGCCAGCTGGACCCGCCGCTCCAGGGCTCCTGCGCGGCCGCCGTTGTTGGGCGCCGCGCCGCTCTTCTTCTTGAACATGGAAGTCTCCTTGGCCGCCGGCGCGGGGTGGATTGACTCGGGCACCAGAGGGTACGGGTGCGGGATGTGCGGGAACCGCAGCTTGTTGTCGAATTCGACCAGGATATCAGTCATGGGCACTTCGGCGTCGGCGTCGAACCCCTTGTCCTTTTCGCTCTGCATCATCCACTTGCGACCCGACCGTGCTTCCGACATGTCCCAGACGATGTCGCGGTTGACCAGGTAGTCGTACAGGGCTCCAAAGTCCTTCTGCAGTGCCTGCGCCGCGTCCCTCGTCAGCCACATGTCTTGACCATCCGAGTCCGGCAGGCCCGTCGCCTGCGCCGGCGGCCACGCCCCCTGGGCGCGCGCGTAATGGTTGAAGAGGAACTTCTGCAACCGGTCTGCCGCCGCCTTGGCTGGCCCGCTGACGCCGGACGCCGGCCACATGTCGCCGTACTGGAACTCGGACAGCCGTTCCTCCGCCGCCTGGACGCGGAGCTGCGTTTCGAGGCAGGCCCTCTCCAACAGGGCGCGGGTGATGGGGGTGAGTTCCTTGAAGTCGGCGCATCGCTCCAGCTGGATGTACATGCCGGCGCAGTGCAGAAAGCTCTCGCGCCATCCTTCCTCCCACCGGACGGCGGAGCCCTCGGACCACGCTAGCAGGCTCACGGCCGTGTCCGGGTCGTTGCGGACGTCGTCTATGCCGCGGGCCGACAGGTAGTTCAGGATCATGCCGACGTTGTCCGAGTCCGGGGGCATGTAGGCGTCCAGCCGCATGTGGAGGTCGGAAAGGGCCTGGTGGAGCGACAGCCCTACGAGTGAGGCGTGGTAGAGCAGCGCGAACACGTTCCTCGTCGTAACGTGGCTCCGCAGCTGCTCCGTCTTGCTCATGTTGGCCGGCGCCGGGAAGTACATCTCGTATGATATCTGTCCGTCGGCCTCGCCGAGGTCTTCCGAGATGGGCGGCGTCGGCTGGCCCCCGCCACGCGTGTGTGGGCGCAGCATGGGCGGCGCGCCCCGGGGCGACGGTGGCATGTAAATGTCCTCCTCCGTCGTGCCCTCGCGGAGCAGCGTGACGAGGTATCTCGACTCGGTCGCCTCGACGATGTGCGACGACAGCCTGAAGGACGGGTTCGGCCGCGGCGCCTGGCCCTTGTGCCCGAAGAAGACGAGGACGTCGCCGTTGGGGTCCCAGAGCTCGGGGTCCTTGCGCAGCTTGTTCCACCTCTGGACGGGTCTCCCTGCGCCGATCCACCGCTTGATAGGCGGCGTCGTGGGCACCGGCGGCAGCTTCGCGACGGGGGGCGGGGAGGTGGGCAGGTCCATCTCGTGATGGCGCATGTGGTGCTGCTGCTGCTGCTGCAACTGCATCTGGTGCATCTGCATCTGCATGTGGTGCATGGAATCGGGGTTGAAGTGGTCGACGGCGTAGTCGTCGATCGGGGACATGGGGGCGGAGGTGTGGTACTGGCCGGGTCTCACGGTGGCGACGGACTCGGGGCGGAAATCGGGCTCCTTGTCCTTGCGCTTGAAGGTGAAGGTCTTGGCCAGGCCCCTCCGCACGTCCTCGCTCGTCTTGTCCAACCTGCTCCGGAGCCCCGACTTCTCGATGCCGGACACGTCCTCGGTCTTGATGGTGGGTCTCCGAGCGCGGGCGTAGGCGAAGTCGTCGAGGGGACCGGAGGTGCCGTCGCGTCGCCCTCCCTCGCTGCTGCCGCTGCCGCTTCCTATGCTCGGGGTGCCGGACTTGACGTCGCGAGGCGGTTCCGAGAACTTTAGGAAGCGGGCGTTGGTGGTGCCGATGCCGGTGCCGACGGGCAACGAGGCACCGGGCTGGGGCAGGGGGAAATCCGGGATGGCGAGGTCGTCATGATCTCCCACGATGCCAGCGGCGTTGGCCCTGGCCCTGGCCTTTTCCTTTTCGGTTTGTGTGATCTTCTTGCGCACATAGGCGCTTCGGCCCGACATGTTGTTGACGGCGGCGGGCTATGGGCTATGGGGAGGGGGGGGGGGGGGGGTGGATGACGAGCGTAAGGCGAGGCCGTAGCTCACAATGAGCCCCCTCTCTCTTGCGCGCCAAAGACGAATGGATGCCAACGTCGTCGTCCACTGGCCCGAGGCGGGGCTGCGCTGCGCTGTGCTGCGCTACTGACGTTGTTCGGGATGGTACGTGACACGACAAAGTTGCACGTGGACGACGAGGTGAAACGGAAGACGAGGGCGAGTGAGTGAATAAGTGAGTGAATAAGTGGGTGAGTGAGTGAGTGAGAGGCTGACGGCGAAAACGAGTGAAGCAAGTACACCGGCTGCAGTCGAGGTGAAGACGAAGGCAATGATGAGAGTAAAAGTAACGATGAAAGTGAGATAAGATAAGACCCTGTCGTTGTCGCCTGCCTTGAGAAAATGAAGCCTGCGGTACGTCTCGAATCGGGCAGTTGGGGGAGGATACAATGCCTGCGATAACTGCAGACGAGCCAATCCAAATGTGGGGCGAGCTGACCTATGTGGGCCTCTCCTGCTGTCTAGTGTAGGTAGGTAGTTAGTTACCCTAATTAGGTACCTTACCTACGGTGTAGGTAAGTACAGTAGGCACGTACCTTGGGTACCTACTGAATCTGGGTACTGAACCTGGGTATGGGTACCAGGGGGGGAAGCAAGGGCCGCTAAGGGAAGGCTATTACTGCGGCTGCTGCTGTTGCTGTTGCTGCTAATTGCTGCTGTGCCCCGAGCCTTTACCCGTTTTAGGCGCGTTGTGCGTCTGTTGCGCCCGCTGCAATGGGCTGATGCGGCCGTTTCGTTATGGCCCTTTTTTTTTTCTCCTCCGGTTTCTTCTCCTTTGTCTTCGCGTTTCTTCTCTCTGGGGGCGGTGGGCTTCTCGTCAGAGGCTAGAATGTTTGCTTGCAATTCCTCTTGGCTGTTAACACAGTCTGTCAGTTCTGCTACTGTTGATTACACGTACGAGAACGAGACAGCCGAGGGAGGGAGGGGTGCAGGGGATTTTGCGGGAAGCGAGATTGATATCTGCATATTTGGGGATGGGGATGAATGATGGATGTATGTAATCTTTGCGTGAGCTTACTGACCTTCGCAAAGGACGATCTATCAACGGTGAGAGAACAGATCGTCAGGCGTCCAGGGATTGTGTCGAGGCCGGCCGTTTGCAAGCTGAAGCTCACCCACTAACAGACAGACAGACAGACAGTGACAACGCACACACATACACAGCAGCGGCTGGTGTATGATATTCCACCGATGATGGCCAAACCCGATGATCGATATATGCGTCGCCTTCGTCAGACTTCGTCGCAGTCTTGCCGCCTTGTTTCGTTCTGTCTTTCGTTTCTTCTTCTTCTTCTTCTTCTTCTTCTTCTTCTTTTTCTTCTTGCTTCCTTTTATCCCTTTCTTCCTCGGGCTGCTTTCGGTCCACCGCCCAGGGCGTTCCGTGTAGGTTTCGGTTCGATACCTCCGCTTCTTCCGCCTTATCCCAGCAAATTGCTTGCCTGGCCGACGCCCGTTCGCTTGCGACTACTAGCGCTCGACCGGCTCGGTAATTGGAAGTGGCGGCTGGCGTCTTCGACGAGCTCGTTGGCCGTTGCGCGACGATCGTGCCCGTGCAGAGAATAAGAACAGACAAGATGACTGAAAAGCAACACCCAGACACACGAGGGCGTAGAAGAAGGAGGAGGAGGAGGGCGAGGAGGTGGAGGAGAAGAATGGGAGAAAGAGAGGTGCAATAGAGATTGCCGGCCAACATCAACACCATCGAAGCAAGCGGCAGAGGAGGGGGGGGCGGGCACATGTCCCTCAGATAATGTCATCCTCTGGCGCGCAACCAACTGAGATACGTATCCGTACTTCAGTGTCAGCCAACCTGACGAGAGAAGCGCCCGTTGATCTGTCGGTACCTTGCCTTACACGACCTTGGACCCTTCGGATCCAGCCCCTTACTGAACCGGGAATTCAAAGCCGTCCTCCCCCACAGCTCCGTCCCGTCTGCATACCGGTACGTCCACAGTAAGCTCGGGGAAGACGCAAGACTGTTGGGCTGCTGCTTTCTTTTCGGTTAGACATGTCTTGGCCTGTGAACCACCCTGGTATCATCATAATCATCATCGTGTTTCTGCGGTGTACTCGATACCCTTCTCGTTAAACTCGGTTGCTTTTCCCCTTGGGCTCTTGGCCCTTCACCTCCCCTTAGGGTTACTTTGACTCGACGAATGGGGGATGGTAGGGGGGGTTTTGGTGCATCAATTTCAAACTGCACCGCATCTCATCGCCTCGCATCGCCTCGCCTGGCGCGAAGAGTGAGAGGGGGCCACACAGGCAGACATGCCGACTTTCCTTTTTTGCCTTCTCGGCGCATGCCTCAGTTTACCGACGCCGCATCTGGCTCCCAAAACGCCTTTACGTCCAGTCGATGCCGATAGTAACGGCCTGCAGGGGGGGGTCCCCAGCCAGGGGCAAGGCAAGGATCGAACCAGTCCACGACTGCAAAGTAAGAACTGTAGGATCACAGCGTAGCACACGTACTGGGACCAAAAGGATCCAGACCCTTGTTTGGCCATCGACAGTTCACCTACTACTAGTCATTTGCTGGTTGATCGCATTCGACTCATCTGATTCGATTGATGGCTTGATTGACCGGTTGATGAATATGAATGACATGGCGAATCAGCGCCGGCTCCCCAACTCTTGATGGTCCAGAAAACAGAACGCGGCCTCTTCGATTGCCCGCTGCATCCCCATTTTGGCTTTTTCCCTCCCTTGGGCCGAGATTGCATATTACATGGTACCGACGAGTTCGGGCTGCTATCGTCATGAACAAACTTGGTCAACCACCGGCTCTACCTATGCCAAGCAACGAGCGTGGCAGACAAACCACGGTTTGGTTTTAATCTCATTTCTTCTGTAAAAAGCTCTTATCGCAGAAAGAGAAGACGAAAAACAAAAGAAAAGAATACAAAAGCAAAAAATGACCCAGCATTGCCCCCCCCTCCTCGCCCCCCTCCCAGCGGCGCTGCATATGTCCATCGCGAGACGGGCAGAAAATTGCTTCGATAACCGCGTATTAAATACCCGCTTAAACCAACCCGTTGGGTCGCATCCTCGGCATGGGAGGGGAGGGGATCGCACGGCCATACCCCTTGTTACTGGTCCACAATCCACAGAAGAAGAGGAAGACGAAGTAGAAGAAGTGGAAGAAGTAGAAGAAGAACCCTTCTACCCACCAACCGTTGGCATAGCACATCTCAATATCTAGATGCCTAGGCAACCCCTCCACGGAGGAAACAACAAACTCGGTTACGAGATTGTCCCAATCTCTTTGCCTTACCTGTATCCCACGTCGGGCGTCTGGAACTCGCGATTGCTTCCAACAAAGAAGGTCTTGGTCAGCAAACCGCAGAAAGCAGATGAAAGAGAGAGAGAGAGAGTGTGTGTGTGTGTGAGAGAGAGACCTTGTCAGTAATCGCCCCTTGTAGCTCCACTAATGCAGGTGAACTTGGCCTTCATCCTCCCCTGGTCTACACCCTCCGCCGTCCTGATACCTACCATACGTATCCGTAGTAATAGTTGAGATCTCGCCTGGCCGACCAGACACCAAAGACAGCGGCCGTTGTGCCCTGTCCTACATGCGCTGCCATGTCCGAATGGCGTCGCCTCCGCGTCGAATTTCCGCTGCACCGCTTCACTGCCTCCATTCAGAAGCTCCTAACTGACATCGACCCCCCTCTTCTCTCTCTCTCTCGGTTGGCGCTGCTGCGACGCCGCGCGATGCCATACCATGTCATTCACAATCTTTGAGCATCCTGGAGGATTGCTCGTTGACCATCCGTAATGATTAGTGCTACGCCAGGGATCATCTCCCACGCTATTTTCCCGGGGCCAGAACTACTACTACCTAAAAGGGCGACGACGGGATCAGCCAGCGGCTTGGCTTGGTCGCTGGTCGATATCGAGTCTACTATCATGGTCCTACCGTCCTGTCGACACCGCCCTGCTGGATTAAGCCCGGAGCTTGGACCTCACGCCATGTGGCGTGAGGTCGGTACGATGGTCCTTTGAGGCACACTGCTGCAGTGATGAACGACACAACGGCGGCCATCGAACTTGGGATGTAAAAGAACAAGACGAGAACGAACGTGGGCCCGCATCCAAGAACCCCCAGCAGGTCTCGGGGGAAGTGTGAGTCCACAGCGGTCAGACCAGCCAGCACCCCTTTCCTTGATCTCGATTGTTATGCCCCTGCCGCCTCAGCTTCCGCCGGGCCGATGCCCGGGGCAACCCACACCACACTATGAATATAGGGGTTTCCTGGTCGTCGGAGGCATCACATCCCCCCGCCCGACGTTTGGTAGGGCTGCCAAACTCGGGCCCCTCCTAGGTACTCTCCCGCAGCAAGGGAGTGATGCTCGGCCCCCCCCCCCCCAAAAAACCCCTGAAGCTGGGTGCTATCCAACCTCCACACAGGCACGACGGGCGTGATGAAGGGTATCGGAAGATGCCACTTCCAGCTTTTCCGTGTTAGCTACACGACCCTGCCCGAGCACACGCTGCGCCGCCTGTGAGAAACGCGGACGGGGATGTGGGGTGGCTGGCCGAGCTTGCTTTGGCCTTGACCAGCCCGCTCTGCCAGGGCCTCGAGGTAACATGCTGCTAACAAGAGCTTGGGGAGGACTTGGCTTTGTCGACTTTTCGTAACGTAATGGATCCAGACCGCTGGGCTCACTGCCTCTCCCCTCCCAATGCCCTCTTCCCCTTGAAGTGTTTGCGCTCCGTCTCATGTGGCTATGTACCGCTACCTGATATTAGCGCGAACGGGGCAAACAACCATGAACCCTACCCATAGATGGCAGTAGTACGACGTAGGTTCCTGTTCCTTGGTGAACGGGGGATGTCGGAAGTCACAGATGCATACTACACTGGCATGGTTTGTCACCATTTTCAATCAGAACCCAGTTGCTTATTCCGACTCGTTGAAACCAACATGTGTCAGGCCGAAATACGCAGCCTGGGCAGTTCCTCGTAAAGTCAACAACCCAAGAACTACCATGGCCTTGCCAAGTTGACGGGTCGCCCAGACGCATCCCGTCCTCCGCATCATGCGCCTGCGGCACAGTCGTGACACCCGGGATACCCTCAACTACGACTTCTCTTCCGTCCTCCTCAAGGACTCAAAGAAACAACCGGATCTAAATTCGTCTGTAAGAAACTGACAGTTCCCGTGGCCAGGACTTAGCACTGTGCTACCACATACGGCTTAACCGGATTCCAGGAGTTGCTGGCTGCCGCCGACATGCCGAGGTTGCCATGCGAGACGGTCCTCGGTCTATTATAGCTCCCCTCGATTGAGGCCATGCTACACACGCTTCAATCCTACTCTTGACCCGATGTTCTCTCCAATCCAATCTTCACCGATATTGCTATGCCGCCGGGCCCGGCAACCAAGTGCGGCACCATTGGTGGACAGGACCTCGGTATTTCCACCTCCAGGATATTCAACTTGAGAAGCTTGAACCTGAGAGTTTGCCAAGGCGGAACAACTCGCACTCGAAGGGAGGAGCAAATCCGTACGTAGCATGAACTTTTGGATTTGCCTCCTTTCCCGACCGCGAATGTCTCCGATCCCTTTCCAAGTTCCAGATGCGCTGCTGCCACTACGGACAGGCTCCTTATCTCCCTCTAACCCTTTCGCTTGGTGTTGGCGCATCCGATATAACCCCTCCAAGTGGACATGGACCTGGCGGGATGACTGCGGACAAAATTACCCTTGTGAGGGAGAATACCAATTATTTGAAGGATTCCCATCTTACCGGCATCCCATCATACACTAGGGCTGTCCTAATCGACTTGACCATATTCCTCCAATCGTGGTGCCGAGTAGATCAATTCCCCTTCTCTTTTGGATTCCCCCAAGGACAACCTGGTGGTCGTTGTGATGAAGCTTGGTTGGCCAGTCCTCAATTCCCTCTGGTAGAGGCATTCGGTTCCTGTTCAACTCTCTACTTCTTCTATATGGATCGTATCTTTGCCACCTTGGCCAACGAATCTCTGGCTCTTATTATCCCTACCCAACTCATCCTGTTTTGTCGCCATGTACCCGGTCTCATCTTCTCGCAGCGGTGCTGCTGAGCTTCTAGCCAGCAAAGGAGAGCCATGACAGGCCTAGAAGCTGACGAAATCGGGGGCTTTTTGAATGCCGATTGTACTGCTGGTTTTGAAACGGAAAAGGGTGTTGTTATCGTGATAAACGACTGTTATTGCGACGAAAAACTGAAGGATCGTGGCTTCAGCACCGACCCGAGCAAGCGCTGGAGCTTCCATTTGCCTCAATAGTGCCACAAGAGTAACTTTAGGATAGCTATGACCTCTGCTTATAGCATGTTAAAGCTTCCTTTTTACTGTTTGCTTTGTTGATATGGTCGTCGTGTGGACTTCTCAATTACTGGTCCTAGTCATTGCCGGTAGACACGGTTGATCGGACAAGCCCATTCCCTAACAACACCCTAAGATAAGTCTTTGCAGGCCCCCGATGTCAACAAGGCCGGCATCCAGGATACCATCCATTACACCGCTTCGTTTCTTGGTGTCCAGAACGTCGCTATTGGTTCTGCAATCTCGCTCACGGTGGGGTACGGCTCCTGGACGACGCTCAGCTTATCAAACCCGGCTGTATGTGCTACCTCAACTTCAGGTCCTTCTGTGAGAGCATCTTCCAGGTTCCCTTGAACGTAGCGGCCACCAATGTTAACGGTAAGCCGTTCATCTTCTTCAACGGCATTGGATACACCGACTCCCACACCCAATTCCGCTGGAATGCCATCTCCTAGCCCGATGACTAGCTCCTGTCAGATGCCAATGAGTATGGTCTCAATCGTCATTGAAAGCTAAGGTGGTTCAATGTTTGGCACAATCTAAGTCTAGGACATGCACACAAGAACTGTAAGTTCCCAGTTCCCATCTGCGCTAATCCTTACGTTCCCCCCTTTTCAAGGGACCAGCTGCTTGTCTTACTTAGCGCATGTTATCAATCTGCCCTCCCACGATGATGATACCAACGACACATAATCTGCCTGCGTACCCCGAGCTTTACTGTGTAACCACTTCAAACAGCTCTGACGAAGCCCAATAGGACCCGATGGACTAAGTTCATATGACAACTAACCACAGACTGATGGAGATAAGGGCGAAGTAACTCTCAGGGTCCTGGAAGTTGTTGCCATTTCACTCGCATTATAGGGATATGCCCAGCTCAGCCACGCTTCGAGGCTGAGAGAGCCAATTGCCAATATTCGATGTAAAATATGATGTATTACCTAGTTACACTATCCCGGTCTAAAAACCCAAAGACACTTGCTTCCGGAAGTGTGCCATTAATTAAAGACGTTGCGTTATCGGCCATGTTACTATCCCATCAAAAGCTAGAGCGGAGACGAGCATAAAAGCAAATTATCCGCGCTTCCCATATAACGTATTGCAAATATGTATAGGCATGTTACGAGTACAGTCAAAGACCCAAAGGTGGGACAATAATACTCGTCTATTCGGTCTTTGTGGCGTCATCACGACCCCCGTCAGGACCACGGCGAGGACCATCAGGGCCATTAGAGGGAGGGGGAGGAGGAACGGCTCCAGGGTAGCCCGGAGGAGGGGGAGGGGGAACGGCTCCAGGGTAGCCCGGAGGAGGGGGAGGGGGGACGGCTCCAGGGTAGCCCGGAGGAGGGGGAGGAGGAACGGCTCCAGGGTAGCCCGGAGGGGGAGGAGGAACGGCTCCAGGGAAGCCTGGAGGAGAAATGGCTCCGGGGAAGCCTGGTGGATAGACACCCGGAGGGCCGCGGAAACCGGGACGGGGCTGAACAGGGTAGGGACCGAAGGGGGGGCCACGCGGGGGGCCAATCGGAGGAGGTGGGCCGTTGTTGACGTCGCGGAAACAATCGCGCTGGCCATCCCGGTTGTCGCCACGTCCATCACGGTCACTATCGCGATCATCGCGGGCCACCCTGCGGTCGCTGTCGCGATCACCGTCCTGGCGACTGCGAATGCAGCACTGTCTTCCGTCCCTGTCACGGCCGCGGTCCTCGGCGCGGCAGTCCTGGTTTCCGTCGCGGTTGCCATCACGTCCGCCGTCCCTGTCGCCGTTCCTGTCGCCGTTCCTGTCGCCGTTCCTGTCGCCGTTCCTGTCGCCGTTCCTGTCGCCGTTCTTGTCGCCGTTCTTGTCACCATCGGCCTTGGGCTCCGGGACGGGAGAGGGAGCAGTAGGAGCGGCAGCTGGCACAAGCGGGGTTGCCTGTCTGCCAATAAGAGCGGGATGGCTTAGAGCGCTGTAAACATATTAGTATAGCTTAACTCTAGGAATGATTGTTGCGTCCAATGTACATACCTCTGCTCACGGGTGTCCATGCCAGATGGAGCGCCATTAGCACCCATGGTGGCAGCGACCATAACAATGAGAGATTGAGAGAAACGCATTGTGAAGAAAATAAGTAATTAGGGATGAAGATTTTTCCTGAGAAGGTCTCTGAGAAAGACTTGGAAGCCCTCGTATGACGGTAAGCTAGTTGCCAAGAGCCTAATAGAAGAGTTGATATTTGATGAGTATAACGAGGAAGTGAACTTGAGAGAGAAAGCAGTTCATTGACCCTTTAAATACCTTTGTAAAGCCAATCATTATCATGTAACTCTAGGCAATTTAGCAACATCTTGGTCACCTTCCTTGCTGATGGAGTCGCCTCACAATGCCAGCTTGCTTTCAATAGTTCTCTTGCATCCGACGACACCGACAACAATGACGCCGAAGACGACAAGCATGCACACTTCATGTTTTCCAAAACTTTATTATGCCGTATGCATCTAGCAAGGGTAATATTTGCAGGGACTGAGTTCATGGGCTAACCGCTAGCACGCACGCCTTGGTGGCCTTAGCCGTCTGTCGGCACCACCACCGCCAATTCTTCTTGGTACAAGAAGATATGAAGTTGGCGGATTGGCTTTGCAAGAACGTCTGATAGTTCTGCTTAGCAAGCTAAAGGAGAAATTACTCCGCGAGCAAGGAAGGGTGGTGTCATGATGCCTCATCTTTTGCTGCTCTGTTTCGTGGTTTCGCCTCAGGAGCTCCCTAGGTCAGAGAGTGTCTACTGGCGTCTTTGTTGTGAACTCCGTCATAAACGTTTTTCCTTTTCTTTTTTCTAGCAAAGAGACGTTTGGTTTTTCATGCCATGAGGATGTTTTATGCTTCTCTAGGGCTTTGACCAAATATGGGTGCCTATGTTGTTCAGAGGTATCTCAATCTAGTAATGGCACTATTATGTATACTTCGTTACCATAACTGCTCCGCCGTGTCGTTCGGCCGAACTTGTCAAGGGCCGAGACGCACAAGCATGTGTCAGCTGCTAAAATTTCCCCCACTGGTTCATACCAATTATGGCGAACACCACCATGACGGGCGATAGATCACTGCTTGGTCATGTCGCACGCCGACTCCATATTTAGTATCTCAACGGGGAAAAGTCCGAAGCGGGAGAATCCATGCCGGATAGTTGTGTAGGAAGCTATTGAGATATCTGTGAATTCACAAAAACGGGTAACCCGTCTTGAAGGTAAGACAGTAGAAAACGCATCCCACCTTGTGGTGAAGAAACAAATCTGGCTCTGATCTATGAATAGGATGTCACTATCCGCTTTTCTCTGATTTGAGGATTGATTATTTGAAATTTCATAGTCCCACAAGGAGTGTGTGTCTTGACTGAGGCAATGACGAAATCGCTGTTCATGCAAATGCCAACCATCTGAACGTCTACAAAAAACAAAGGAATTTAAAAAAAATAATAAACTAAACTAAACAAAAACTCGTCCCCCCATGGCCAGGGCAGCAGAGCGGTTATTCGATGTAGGAAAATAACGTGTGGAGCATTCTTGATGCGTGGAAAATTTTCAGAAAGTTAGCTTGAAATCTCTGTCTAGGAATAGATGTCAAGGATCGGAGTGAGATGGGCTCTGCAGGCGGTGTTCATTGTGCTTTCTGCTCATATATCAGACGGAGAACCTTGAGAAGCCGCGTATGTCACCAAGATAGAGACACCGTTACATTGCCTCTTACCTCGTCTTGTCCTGGATATACCTGCTATGGTCCTTGGCTTCAAAGCTGTAGAATTTCTCGCACGCTATCCGAACGTTTCCCATTTCCTCCACTCTTTCAAGTAGTTTTGTTCATGCCTCCGTTCCGTCTTCATGCTTATATTTTGCAATCCTTGATTTCGTATGGGACTGAAAAGGTTAACGCTTCGATCTTTCCACTTGGGATAGTACGCGCGCACGAATATCCCTCGCTTTGACCCAGCTTGATGCAAATATCGCTTTGTTTCAATCAGGATGCAGCTTCAAGTGAATGACCGCTTTGACCACACACATGAACTGTGGCAACTTGCATTTGTTGAACATGTTGCCACTCACTCAGTGGTTGCCTTGATGAAAATAACGGTAGGTTACCCGTGAGTGCCTTATATGGATTGCTTTTCTCGAGTTTATGCGACTATTCACTTACTTATCATACGTGCCTTTGTCCCTCAAAGTACCACTGTGTCAAACCTCAGTACGGTCGGACCCTGTTCACTAGAGTTACATAGATAGTATTAATGCTTGCTTCCTCAATATTGTGATATTATGACGCGTCACAGACTGCATTGTTTTCATGGTATGCAATAAGCGTTTGCAAATATCCGCTTCGTGTCCACTACATTCACGCCTTAGTGTTAAAAATGGCGGTATCTCATGCCACCCAAGTGCTACTGTTCTTGCAAGTTCTATAGATTAATATGACGTATAAATAGGGAAAACTGATCCTCGACAAGGAGCAAGAACTAGAGAATCCTCACCACTAGACTGCATGTATTTGCACTTCTTCAGGAAGGCCTGAGTCTGAATCATCCAAGCTAAATGTGATGGAGAACGGAGCCTCAAAATCTTCCGTGCCGTGTAATCCTCTCATGATCTGAAATCATTCCTCGACACACGATATGGATTACGTTCTAGATGGGCTTTGAATCCCGGGGAGATGCCCAAAAACACTATCGCTCAAACGAAGTCGTTAATCGAGGGCAGCAATAAGCAGTTCGTATTCTCTTTGGTACTTAATGCTCCATATTCCGTATCTTCAGAAAGGATGCCAGGCACAAAAGAGGATAAGAAAAAAGAGAGCTGGAACGTCGACGACTACGAGCCTGGCGACGTCCTCCTCCCTCAAATTTGGCCATCAGCTTCCCATAATTCTTGCTGTGCCGAAAATAGGGTGCAATTGCTTTGATTTTACACGTCATTGTCTTTACAGTCACAGCTATCTTAGGCCCTTGGGTGTTCTCAAGTGGCTGCGTGATATGGTTTCGATTCTTTACAGCCGAAAATTTGACGAACTGATACGAACCTCGAAGATTCCCAAGCATATCAAATACCTCTGTGTTGAGGCATACAGAAAGTAGAACTCGAGAAAGTAACCTCACGGAGGTCGAACATACATTTGTAAAGTAGCGAGAACGGTGACTTTGATATTTGCCGAATTAGAAGGAGGTTCTTACTTACGGAGGACGTGGCGCAAAGAAGACAATTACTTATCGCTGCTCCCCACAGTAGAAAACCTAGGAGGACAATCATTATCTCATTGATATGGCTTTTGCGAAAAGCGTATTCGAAGATCTGTTCGATAGGCCTTTGATTTGACAGTCCATGCGGTGATTCTGAGTACGCGAAGCTCAAGTTCGGATGTTAGTCGGCAAGCATCGCGATATCTTGAGACGGTTGAGTATGGTCTGATGACCGCACGTCTTGTAAATACATCTCAATGCTAGTTGGGATAGGCAGTACGAATAAAAATCTGGAAGGACCATCTCGTCCAATTGAGATAGCCGAGACACTGACGTCGAGATAAACGTCAGCATGTCACGGACTGAAATACCTCGGCGATTGGTGATGCGGAATGGCATTCGCTGTATACTCTCAGAAGCCAATTTTTCAGAGATAATTTTCGACCAGATTTTCGATGGAATTGGCATGCCCGCTCATGCTTGCGGGAGAACAAAGTCACTCGGAACGGCTTTGCTCGATCGAGTACTAGATATACTTTCGGCCAAGAATCAAGCTTGACGTGGAGCCGTACCACGATGTCTACATTTACTTCATTGAAATTGGGACCAGCATCCAATAGTACAATGGAGAGAAGGTAACTTGTATACAATCTCAAGTTTTGCAATATAACTAACAATGTACACGGTTGATGCCATCCACCAATGAAGCTTTGCAGCCCAGTGAGCTTCGAAAAAACGCCGTTGCCTCTCCAGTATGCAGTTCTCCCCCACACTACACCTTTCTTTGGTCGATGCTTGCATGCCAATTCTCCGAATAATAACAAGATCACTCCACGCGGGGAGGGCCTGCATATCCGTTGCTATCAGGATTGTCCAGTCTCTTGGATATATTGCGAGCCAAGTGGATAAGCTGTCTAAGCTGGAAGTCGGAATCGTTTGTGCTAGTGTTGAGTTGTGCGCCGACGAGACCAATGGTCTTGCACATACTGATCAGTGTCTCACGCGCCAGTTTGGACGCGGTTTCAGGAGACTGTTGTCGGTATTGTAGCGCTCGTCGGTCATCGTCGTTGGAAAAGGATTCGGGTTCGCGAAGAACCGTCAAGATGGAGGGAATACCCGTGATAGTTGGACTTCCCGGGTCTCTTTGGCTTCGCGCGGCGGGAGTAGTAGGACTCTCTGACATGTCGAAGTAAGAGTATTTCGGAGAGAGTTTTCGGGTCAAGTCAATACTAACTTGTCGATTGACTTGGCGACGGCCCGTTAGCGAGAGTGATGTGGCCATGACGAGTAATTTCCTTACTTGTGTCTTGACGTGTGCTACGAACCAATTCTGGCGGCTGTGAACGAGCGAGTATCCTGTTATATACCAGTCGATTTGATGATAATAGTAAAGAAAGCGACCCTTTCACATTGAGCCAAGACTTGCATTGATGAGTGATGATGACAGGATATATAGGGCGGAGGTGGCAGGGTTCTCGATCATAAGATCATGCTCTGATCAGAGTTTCGCGACTGTCTCTTCATCAAACATCATCTGATGCTCAACATCGTTCTGTCTCTCTGCAGCCGCCATAGCGATGGGCACATAACGCCTTGTGATTAAGGTTCCGGCGCACCCAAGCCACCTCATGCCCGTGATTGGAAACAGCAAAACGCAAGTTGAAAGTATACAGCGTTACCTGGTTCGCTGAGAGACACAGACTCCCGGTAAGAATAGCTGTTGCACACTGGGCGCGTGACCAAATCACTTACTGGTATCAAGCTTCGGAATCGAGCAATGGTTAAGGGTCCCTATCCTCGTCCAAGATGACAGAATGAGAACCCAAAGTGTGGGCTTGTGGATTGTGGATCTGGTAGTCAGTCATGTAGCGAGCTAAGCCTCCGCCAGCGTGACGATAGAAACGCGGGGAAAAGAGACTTTCTGGGCCACTGCGGTCGGACCGTGGAGAGGCGACGGGTGTGTTCTGTGCCCACCCCGGCATGCGGGCGTCAAGGCCCGCCGGCATCAGGTAAAGTCAGAGTCTCAGGGAACAGCGCTCGGCTGTAAATCATGTCACGTTAGCTGACAATCTCGAGGTGCCAATTTGGCACACGCATTGACGCACGTGATACCACCGTACGTATCCATCTCCGTGTCGAGTCGGTTATAGAATCATCATAGTGGATAGAAAGGCTGCTTCCTCTGCATGCAGCAGTTACACTTGGCAAACAAGGCCCAGATTAGCCGATTCATCATATGATTTCGTGGACTGCTAATCTGGGGCTGAGGCGAGTTTTCATGAACTCGAGATGGCAGTCCTAGCAGCTTGGGGTTCCTGGACGTACGTGCCAAAGGTACGTCTGTGCGAGGATGCTACCTTCTGGTCAAGTTTCTCTAGTGATTAATACAAACCTTATCGATGGCATGATAACTGCCCAGCACTGCCAGTTTTGAAACTCTGGGTACGAAAAGATAGACGGCCCCATGAAAAATCACCATTTATTTGGGACAAGCAGAAACCGACAAGGCGAAGACTGAAAAATACCTGCACTGTCACATATTAAGTAGTGTACCGGTACTCTAGCTGAGGGGTAATGTTCACTAAGACTGAAACATCTCCAGACCAGCACCTATACCGACGAGACTCAGGTGACTGAGGCGTCATGTCTTTAGCAGGAATAGCTAAGCAAATGCCATGACTCAACAAATTGTGCCGTGAACCACAGAAGTGCCGCAAAGGTACTCTCTGGTCAAATGATGAACTAGGAAATCATTCTCGCGTGATTTGAGACGAAAGATATGTTCCTCCTACCTACTGGTACAAGAAAGCCAAACACTTGGCAAGGCCACACTACGGATTAGGACTAGCATCGTTCTGGCACCAATCATGTAATCATGCTAATACTTCACGGAGTGATTTTGAGCAACATTCATTCCACAAGCGGTGCGAAGCCTTTTAGATGTCGATGATCAGTCATCTCCTGAACCCTGGTTCGACCCGACAAACTCGCTTTAGTTTCCTTTTTCCTTTTCTTTGTTAACCTTGCCGAAGCTCTCAGTCTTCTTGTTCACACCCTCTTGCCATCTATGCGCCTCATTCCCTATCCCTGCATCTGCCTCATTTCGGACTAACGTCTGTCCAGGAGGAACCCTGCCTCAACAGCATGGCAGACAGCCACGAAGCCCGGCCATCGTCAGCGGCCCGCAACTGTGCCATAGAGCATAGCCACGAATCAACCCCACTTCTCCAGACCACCGCGTTTCGTCCCGTCCACGAATCCATCTCTAGTCGTACTGCCCACGAGGGCGAAAGCGGAAGAAGTGGTTTCCACCCCTGGCACTTTCTGAATGTGTTATGGCGCAGCTCGTGTGCTGCCTCCATGCTTGTCAATGTGCTTTGGCCCATCGTTCTGGTGGCCGTTGTGCTTCAAATCTTTCCTGCACCTTTGGAAGTTTGCGACCGCCTACGTAGCTGTCGTACCCTCTGCCAATCTTCTGGGCAGGAATTTGCCCGAAAGATGCCAAAGTGAACTGGCATCTTGATTGAGACGACATTCGGCTCCATTGTCGAGATTATTCTCTTCGTCGTCCTCGTTTCGCAACATGACTCGTCATCTTCCGTGGAGAATGGCGATTACGGCAATCTCATCCCCATCATTCAAGCCGCCATTTTTGGGAGTATTTTGACGAACCTGCTGCTTTGTCTTGGCCTATGCTTCTTCGTTGGGGGCATCCGTCATGCTAGCCAAAATTTCGCGCTATTGTTTCCGAGGTCGGTACAGGCCTTCTTCTGGTTGCCGCCTTTGGACTTCACATCCCCAGTGCCATTTATTCGGCCCGTCAAGTCCGAGACCGTGCCGGAACTCCCTGGCCTGCTGGCAATGCACGAAAAGTTCACCGACGGTACTCTTCAGACCGACGTCCTGCATATTAGTCGGGCAACCTCTATCGCTCTCATCATCGCCTTTCTGCTGTATATATGGTACCAGGCCAGTAGTCAGCACACCATTTTTGACGAAGTAATAGAAGCAGATGAGCACCATGATGTGGACCGTGAAGCGGACATGGAGAAGCCCAAGTTCACCATGACTGAGATTGCGATTGCCCTCGTCATATCACTCGTGCTTGTGACGCTGCTTCTGATCTTCTTGGTCCAGGGAATCGAGCACGCTGTACACAAATGGCATCCCGGACCAGTTTCTGGGTTTGATCCTTTTACCTCTTGTGGAAAAAGCTAATGACTCTAGGTTGTGTATGCAATCATTGCCATGCTTGCTGGTACTAACCAAACCCCGACGTAGCAACGTCCAATGGCCTGGAGGTGTCTGAGATTGTTCACGTTACAGTGACAGTCGATACCCTTCGACAACTTCAACAACTTTTGAGTCCAAACTTGGCCCATTAATTTGAAGCTATACGAGTAATGTCTAATGTCCAGGCCGAGGACACAACAAATATCAGCGTTTCGTTTGATTTAGATCTTTTTCGATTAACTGCCAATCGTATTAGGCATCAAGAATCGCTCACAAAATCTGGATGAAGGGTCTTTCCAAGCGTAAACTATGGCGACTGCGGAACGTCAAGTAAGCCCGTCAAGCATCATAACGGGCAATAGCGGTTTCGAAACGTAGTCTCCAAGAATATGAATACCACGTATTCCTTAACGAACCCTTGAATACCATCATAACTACAAAAGTCTTGGGTGAGTTTGAGCGGGAATTTCGAAAAGCCAAATCATCATAGCAAATTGTATCTTCAGCGTCTGCAGCGCCAGCCACCTTCCGAAGCACCCACATGGACCCAAACCCAAGACAAGGGTTAGCACAGCCACGGCGTCAAATGCGTTTTTCACCTGTAGTCGGCATCTTCTCTTCCGGTCGAAGTGCGGCTACATCGTACGAGCAGTCTTTTCGTTAGCCCAGCTTGCCATTCAGGCATTGCCTAGTGATAGAGGTATATCGAAGAAGTCAACGGGCTGGTTGTGCAGAGTGGTGACAGGAAAACTAGCCCAGGTATTGTTGTCGACCGTTGGTTGTGAGCCTTGATTCCCAGCATATCTGAGAATCCGGGAACGAGATCATCAATCTAAGCGCTCAGAAGAAAAGACTAGGCTATTGGAAGTCGTTGAGGGGTATCGAAAGGCGGCGGCAACCGTTGTAGCGGTGGCGCGACGATGGGTGTCTCTAGTTGCTTCGTTGACATCGGCATTCTCAACGACTCAAGCAGCGAAAGATGCAAACACTAGTCGGCACATCACCAATTGCGTGGGTTATGTAAAAGCAATGAATAAATGCGGCCCGGCGAGTGGAAGTATAGACTATAGTAACTCTCCAAGGCGGAATCGTGTGGGAGAAAGGCCGTTCCAAATTGAATTTCAGCACCGCTTCGATGGCACAATAGCCCTTAACACCGGTTATATATATCCCGCTACCTATACCGAAGTGCTTTCTAACATTGACAACATATGTTGGCTGATAGTAAGAGTTGTTGGCTTGCTTGCCTGCCACAAGCACGCTGCTGAAGGGGTGATCTCTGATGCAATGAGCCATGGGCTCGAAGAGCGGCGAAGGAGATATGAAGACGAAGTCACCCGAGAACTCATAATTAAATAGCGCCAACCGGGACAACATGGTAATAATCGAGGTCTTCGCGACTGATTTTCCGCTGTTCGTTTGGGCCTTCTATGATGGCTGTGTAAGCATGACTTCCAAGCTGTGTCCACCAGTTTGCATGTGTCAAAAGTTTCATTTTCTTACCCGTGGCAGTTACGTCTAGGTCTGCGAATATTAAGCACGATTATCTGATATCATTGAGCATTATGAGCGTCTCTGACATCACTGCTGGTTCAAATACCTATATCAAAATAGGAATGCAGGGGTTCAGTCTAGCGGATTGCTGCGTATGTGCCGGAGAGCTACGAAGATATCGGTGCTTTAGGGATACCTGCAAACTGGGCGTGACCGCCTGAGGCAGAGGTTACGGTTTACCGACCTGGCCCCAAAATCCAAGCCGTAGTCTTTGGTCTGCCTGATGTCGGGCCAATAACGACTCAGAGTTTTACTAAATCACCCACTGTGCGGTGCTCCGGAAGATTCAAGGAATTAGAGGCATGCCGACTTGTGATGCCTCATGCTGTGAAGCCAAGAAGCCCGTTCTGGATATTACGATGCGGCATGCTGGTTGATTCATACCGTTTACGCCTTGAAGTCGCTACACTGACAAGGGCGTACCGTTAACCTCACGCCATTACACAACTTATTCAAGAACGGCCTTAATCATATGGCTTTGGTATGACTTTGGTATGGCTTTAGTTCGATAGATCGCCCTTCATATGTATTTCGATGACGAGCTGATATATCTTAATTTAAAGTCTTCAACTGCATGTGCATTGTTGCCGGAATAAGGTGGTTGATGCGCAATAACCGGGTCACCAGCCGCTCCCAATTGGGGTGTTTGGTGATGGCGTTTCACTTTGCCATGCTCAAATATGTAAATTGCAATCGAATGCCGATGAATGGTTCATAGGAGTTGTGGGAGGATTTAACCTTAAGATAACGGGGCAACCTTGTATCACAGCTTGACAAGGTAGAGACGCAACGGGTAAAGAGTTGGGTCCCGTCGGTACATCAGATGCAGCGGAACGCTTTGCAACCCAAAGTATTAGACTGTTTTCTCTCTTTTCTTATTCTCAACTGCAAGTTTTCCGGGACATTCCCAAAGGAACGCTTAGCGCGGCTGTGGGTGGGCTGAGACGACGAGGCAGCGAACAACACAATGGACATGACGAGCTTTGATTAGTCAGCCAGCACACTATCTTTTTCCCCTCCACTCCGAATGGTCGGTGAAAAACATTGACCCATGTCACGTGAGTAGCGTTTAGGGGGTGGGGGAGAGAGAGAGAGAGAGAGAGACGGAGAGCGACGAGACAAAAAACAAAACAGGAAAGGAAGGTGTGACGGGCTATTAGCCGTTGGCGGACTTGGCCGAGATGGGCAAAGTCGGGAACCCAATAAAAGCGTGTTGCTGGTCAGGAGAGTGGGCGGCTTTCTAACCGCCAACGACATGATTGGGGGAAATCCTTGGGCTTATGACCGAGAGTGGATTCATTCTGGATACGTCTCCGTACTTCGTGTTGAGAGGGAAGAAATGGAGAAAGGCGCGTCCAGACCGTCATACCTTGCCCATGTTCCTCCGTGACCAGGCAGAGAGGGAGAGAGGGAGAGAGAGAGAGAGAGAGAGATAGAGGAAAAGGAACGAATGCTTAGGCGATATCCGTACCACACAAGAGAGATAAGAGAGATAGATAGATAGATGGAGAGATAGAGAGAGAGAGAGAGCAGAGAGAGAGGAGGAGGAACGGAGGGAGGGAGGGAGAGACTGAGGGAGGGGAACCGTGGAGGACGGGGCAATTTCCCTGTGTTCCCGCCCATTGCGTGCATAGCCTGTTGGTGTGTGTTGGTGCTGGCTGGCGCCTTTAATTACCCCCTTGTTCGATCTTTGGAAAACCCACACCACCACCACCGCTCCCCTCCCCGAACATATCCATGTTCCCGTCCACCGCTCCAATCCAGTAGCGGTCCAGTCCCAGTCCAGTCAGGCCCAATAACAGTCATGGCCTGGACAAATGGCTCAAAGAGAGGGAGAATGTGTGAGAGAGAGAGAGAGAGAGAGAGGAGAGAGGGCGGAGGCGAGGCGAGGCGAGACGCGACGAGGCTTAGGCGAAAGAGAGAGAAAGAGAGAGAGAGAGAGAGAGGGCCAGGAAGAGGAGCCAAGTGGGCGCTTAGCTTACCTAGCCAAACTAGCTTAATTACCTCCTTGGTGTATCCGTACAGTAATAGTAATTATTGTTGTTGTGTTGCTTTGCTTTTGCTTAGAAGGGAGGCTGAAGGCTGGAGCCGCCTCCTCCTCCACGTGTCAAAAGTCCTCCCGTCTCGTCTCCGCCCCCTTGGGTTCCCCCTTACTCGCCCGCTCGCGCACCCGGCGGAAGTGTGCAGCGCAGAGAGAGAGAGAGTGAGAGTGAGAGAGGAGAGTGCGTGTGTGTGGACGCGGACTGTTGGAACTGGGAAAAAAAAAAGTGAGACACGATGCGGATGCCCGCCGCCGCCAACGCGAACGCCGTCGCCGTCACCGTCCCAACCGACAATCGGCCGGCTGTCGTCACTACGGCTCCTACTGTTGCCGCCGCCGCCGCCGCCGCCGCCGCTGTTGCCACCGGGACTGCTTCTGCTTCTGCTTCTGCTTCTGCTTCTGCTTCTGCTTCTGCTCCTGCTCCTGCTTCCGCTTCCGCTTCCGCTGCTGTCTCCGAGACTCATCGGCCTGCTTCCGACGCCGCCGCCTCCGCCGTCTCCTCTGCTGTTGGAGCTGCTACTCTTCCTCCTCTCTCTCATCCTCACCCTCCTCTCGCGTCGCTTCCCTCCATGCCGTTGACGTTGTCTCGCCCGTCGCGATATGACGCCGCCCCTGTTGCCGGCCGCCTCGAACCCTATCCCTTCGGCCCCCTTCATTCTCTGCCACCGCCATCAACCTACTACCGCCGCTTGGCTGCGGCTCCGGGCCCGGCTCCAGCTGCTTACCCATCCTCCATCGCCCGCCATGGCGCGTTCGGCCTCCCTCCGTCGCCCTCACCAACTCCATCACATGCCAACAGCTTCGACAGCCTCAGCAACCATGAGAGGAACCACAGCAGCTCAAGCTTCACCAGTACCGGTAACAGCAGCAACCACGTCACGTCGGCACCTCGATCCGACACCTCCAAGCCCAACAAATGTTCCGTCATGGCCCTGCAGAACGTCTTGTGCGACCCAGACGACGACGTGGACATGGCCTCGTCGCGTTCCAGTCACCCGCCCACGCCATCTCTAGATGCACTCAACCCTTCCATCACAAACTCCGCCCCTGTTTCTCCCGCTTCGGCACCACTGGAAACATCTGCCTTTGTGGCGCGTCCAAATCCGTCTCATGTGCTCATGACCACCCGGCCCCAGTTGCACACTCCTCACATCCAACACACAGAACCTGGCTGTAAGACGTGTCAGATCCGCAAGATGCCCTGCGATGAAGGGCGACCCTCGTGTGAGTCTGGTTTTCTCCCAATCGTCCACGTCTGTGATATGATGAATTAATGACCCGACCAACAGGCCAAAACTGCTCACGCATGGGCATCCATTGTTTGGGCTACTTTTCTGCGAGTCATGCCAACTCGCAACAGGTCTCGGACCGCTCCGTACCCAGCGTTAGTGCCAACGCCAAACGCCAAGATCAGGAGGAGTACCTCTTCTTCCTCCTCGACCACTACCGGCACACCAAGCGCCATTGCATGTGGGAGCTCATCACTCTCGACTTCAACGAGCACTTCTCCTGCAATATGCGAAAAGAGGCCTTGCAGATGATCAAGCGTCGACGTTTCAAGGACAACGAGTGCGTCGCTAACCCCCTTCTCCTCCCCCTTCTGCTCCCCTTTGGGAACAAGATGAACGAAATAAGAAAGAGCTTGGACTAATATGCGTCCCAGCACTCGGGAGGCTTCTCCAAACGACGCTCCGACCAGCTCTCAACGACCCAAGGCAAAGAGAGGACGACGACCGCGACCGAGCGCCCCTTCCCTCCAGCCACTGCCGCAGGACGCCGACAACGAGTCTGGCACAGGATGAGACGAGGGCTGTCATACCTTGACCTAACTCATCCCCTGCGGGACCTGTTATCCAAAGGGCGACCGGCGTGCGACTTTTACTTGGCGGCCAACAGTGCAGAGTGGCCAACTCAGTAATCATCTGTCATGCGTACATCAGCCGCAGACATATCGGGGCACAAGACAGCGACAGTGCAGGCGAATTGTCTGGAAAGGGCCTTTGATATCTCGCTTCGTACCTTTAAGGGGAAAGCGAGATGGGTCATCCCGGCTCTTGGGGTTCTAGTTGCACATGATCGCTACCCGTCCCTGAATCGCTGATGTCATCCGTCGTTCCAAGGAACGGGCGATCGTCTGTCTCACAAATACCCAAGCGGCAACACGCGAAAGACATTCAGTCTAGCTGGAGCAGAGAAAGCATGGAATTTATGAGCTTCTCTGAGCCAACTAGAGGGACTTTTGGCCGGTTGCGTTCCGTATAACCGGCAGCATGGTGTATTCGCACATCCCGAGATCCCGTTCTTCCGGGTCGCTAATACCTTACTCTTCGTTGCCTCCCAGAGGCTAGATGACCTTGGACGAGCCTGTTTCATGCCCTTGCGTCTGGCCTTCTTCGACCCAGGCCCTCATATCTCGGCCATCTGAGGCCGTCTACAACGCCTCTTAGGCGGATCGTCAGTCTGTTTCCAGTCATCGGTGTGATCGTGTCCTTATTCATATCTTCGAGGACGTGCTGCCACAGCAGAAAGTTGCGCCGGCACAATGAGAACCCCCAACCGCGCCCAATGTCACTACAACATCCGCGGCGGCATGGCTATTTGGGGTGGGTCTGAAGCCATACATACACGCAATGCCGGCAAATGCATTTCCACATAGCCACATCAGCAAACTAATACAAGTACAACGTGTGACATTCTCTGATATTTAATTAATCGCCATTGTTGTGACCTTGGCAATATCTAGCGCCTTTTCCTGAGCACGAAGCAAGACCAATCCCAACATGGGAGTCACCATCTTAACCCAAGCATCGCAATGCCGAGACACCGCTCAATGCCATTTTCGTCACCGTTGGCCAGCTGCCGGTGTGAGGATAGCCCTTGCATCAGTTGGCTATGGTGACGAAGCCCAAATGCTCTGCCTTTGGCGCGCGTCTCATGCGGGGTCATCATGGACTGTACTGCAACTGGTTCTATGTTGAAACGCGCCTTAGTAAAGGGATTAAGTCAACCCACCCACTTTTTGGCACCCCCCATATTTCAGCATGCCAAAAATAAAGCCATCACAACTAACACTACTTTATTTAATTAACTATTAACAACCTCTTAATACTATAATAATATAGCTTTTGGCCTCACTAGGTAATTTAGATACACTAGATTTATCTATATTACTTTTAACTTTACTAGCCTCCTACTATAATTACTACACCTCTTTAATTATTATAAACTTTATATTAAGATCTATATAAATAGCCTTCTGTTTCCTAGGTATACTATTAGTAACTTAGGCTTCTAGAAGGCTAATTTTTTACTAGGTAATAGCTAGTATATAGGACTATTCTTAGAAGCCTTTTTTAACCTTTTTAAATAGTTAGCGTTATATAATAATACTTTATTCTAGCTAGCTAAAGAGCTATAGTTAGTCCCTAAGGTCTTTTACTTTCTTTAGTATAGACTACTTTACTATAGATAAGGCTAATACCTAGCCCTCTATATTATAGGCATCCTAGGCTATATAGGTATCTTTAGTAGCTACTTTAAGTAGTATTAATAGTATTATTATTAATAATATTACCTTTTAGACTAGTAGCCTATTTATAAGTAGCTTTATAGTACTAATAGGCTATAACCTAGTGTATTTCTAGCTACTCTTAATATTACTAATAGTTAGACTAGCTAGGTAAGCCTTCTAATAGTAAAAAAAAAAGTTCCTTTTACCTATAATAGTAAAGTTAATCTACTAACTAAAATATCTAAGCTTCTTCTAATATACTACCTTAATAAAGCTAAAGACTAACTAGTTAAGTAGCTAAAAGATATAAGAGGTATATAGTAGCAAGAATAAAAGATAAATATTATTAGTATAGTATAACTATATAAAATCTATTATTATATAGCTCTTATACTTATCTAGGATAAAGAGTTTAGCCTAGTTAGGCTAAGAGGGCTTAGTCTAAAGAAGAAAGACTCTCTATAGCTATTTAATAGTAGTAATATTAGTAGTTTATTTATTCTCTATTACTATAAACTCTTATCTATTATATAGGCCTAGATCTAGAGGAAACTACTACTACTAGACTATTTTACCTTTATATATAACTAAGGGATAAATAGTAATACCTTTAGTAGATATACACTTAATAATAATATAATAGCACTAGTAAAGAGAAGTAATAATTAAAACATAGGTCCTATATTCTATAAAAGCTAATTCTTAACCTAGCTATTACTAGCCTTTTACTAAGGGGTTAATATCTTTTTAACCTTACGTTTATTTAGCCTTACTAGGTAAAATACTTACTAAACTATATTAGGAATAATATTTCTTTAATCTACTAGGTCTACCTAGGACTTTAAGGTAATTACCTATTGTCTTATAATAATTATACCTCCCTCTTATATAACTATCCTAGTTATACTACACTAGCCCTAATCTAGTATATCCTTAAAAAGGTTTAGTTAGCTATTAGCTGTCTATAGGCCCTTTATACTCCTCCTTAAAGCTACTCCTCTAAGCTTTACTTTCTATTATTTATTTACTTTTATAAACTTTATCTTCTTTTTATTATTATAGCCTTTTATTAAGTTCTTATACTATTATTACTGCTTTTTCTTTTTTTTTTACTAGTGTTTTATTAGATTATTAATTTTTTTTTTTTTTTTAGATTTTAATAACTAATTCTTAATAAATAATAACTAATATAATAGTAAGACTTAGCTAATTCCTTAGATTATAAAAGAAGAATTTATAGTACACTAGCGCTAATCTTTAATAACTTGTCTTAATTAAGCTATTTATAATTAGGCTATATATTAGGAGTAATTAGCTAGACTTTACTATACTTAAGCTAATATTACTATAACTTACTCCTTTTTATTAGTAATTAACTAGCTATTTAATATATTTATATTTAATAGGCCTACTAAACTACTTATAAAGTAAGCCCTTTTATTAAAAATAGTAAATATAAAAATACTAATAATAAATATAACTTTTTATTTTCTAATAGTTCTAGATTAATTTATTACTAATTAAAATATAATAATAATATAAATAGTAACTAAAGTAAGAGTAACTCCTGTTGTCCTTCTCCCCTTAGTCCTAACTAGTATTCTCTTAGCCTTTTGCTATTTATTAGGCCCTAGGACTATAACCTTACCTTACTAAGTTCCTAGGGCTTTAATAATAAGTTTTATAATACTAAAGATAAAATTAGTATAAATAATCCTAATAATAAGGTTACTTAACCCCCTAATCCTCCTAGTAATAACCTACTAAATAAGATCTAAATCCTTAATCCTTTCTAGAGGACTAGTTCTATTACGTTAGCCCTATATATATTATATTTATACTACTATTAAGGATTAGGAGGCTAGGCGTACTCTTACTAATGCTCCCCTAATCCTAGACTATTAATTTACTTTTAATAGTAGTACTAGATATATATAATGTACTACCTATACTAATAGCTATATACTAGTACCTAGGTTTTCTTTTTATTTAGTAGGCTTTTACTAATATTTATTTATCTAGTATACTACTATAATCCTAGGTAATTACTAAGACACTATAAATATTTTTATAGCGCTAGGTACTTTAATTTAGGCTAATAAGTTTATAACTATTTATAAGCCTATTTTTACTATTTTAGTAACTTTCTTAAATAACTTAGCTACTTTAGATATTTAGTACTAAAAGGCTTAGTACTAACTAGTGTCTAAGAATCTTTTTTATGTTTATTTTTTTTTATATCTTACTAGGCTTTTACTAACTTATTACTATAAGATAACTTTTTTAAGGTTAAGAATACCTCTGTTACCTACTATAAACTAGTGTCTAAACACTATAATTAGATCTACTATAGGCGCTTTAATTTACTTTACTTTATATAGTAAGTGTTACCTTTTTACTTATAAAACCCTATAAATATTTACTAATTATTAATAAAGACTACTAAAATAACCTTTACTTTTTCTAGGTAATTAAGGCTATATTATATAGTAAATATATAAGTATAAGGTATATAATAATATAGTTTATATTATCTATAATAAGGCTAAAGACCTTATTACTTATTGTCCTTTTACTAAGACTTTAGCTATAATTTACTTCTAAATTAAGGATTTTAATTATAGTTTATAGTAGCACTAGATATACTTTAAGTGTACTACTCCTTAGGTTTCTTGTTTTATTTTTTAAGTTAGGTTTTTAGGCTAGTTTAAGTTTAGTTATTTTTATTTAAGTATACCCCTTAGGTACTATATTATTAGGCCTATTAGTTCTTCTAGATTTACTTAAGATTTAGCTTTATTATTACCTAGTAGTAATTAATCTTTATATTTTTAGTTCTTTTTTACTTACTTTCTTTATATTCTTTTATTACTTCTTATACTAATTTATATTATTACTATTAACCTATAAGTTATACTTAGACAGCTAGCTTATCTACTTAACTAAGTAAAATATTTTTTTCTTTATAATATAGTAGTTAATAATATAGTCTAGTTTTTACTCTAGATTATTTTCCTCTAGGTTAAAGAATAGTAGGCTTTAGTTACTCTATAGCCTTCTTCTCTAAGGCTTTAATAAGCTAATATAGAAAACATTATATATCTATAAGTACTTCTTAGGTAACACTAGGTAATAAGCTTACTTACTTATAGCCTATATTACCTAAAATAGTCTAATAAACTTAAGTACTAATTTACACTATATAGCTTTAAACTATAAGTTTTTTATAAATAATAGGACTAAATCTCCTTATTTAAATACTATAGGTTTATAATATTTATTATAGCTTTTTACTTACTTCTTAATAGCTTATTACTATACTTACGCTAAATCTAGCTATAACTTATATAACTTCTCTAGGTAATCTTAGATACCTTATACTTCTCTCTCTTAAATCTTATCCTTAAGATTTAGGTAAAACTCTAGTAAGTACCTTAATAAGGCCTAGAAAAGGCTATAT